AGATGTTATCTGAATAATTTTGGCTGAAGAAAAATGAAAAGTGTGATTTTCTGACCAACAGTGGTGGGCAATAGCAGATTTATGTGTTTCTTTTTTCCTAAGATATGCCTCATGTTCCTTAACATGAACTTTTAAGTCTCTCTTAGTTTGACCAATGTTAATTACACCACACTGGCAAAAAATACTATATGTACTCCATGGAGTTCATATCTGGAATGAAGTACTTAAGTACTGGAATGAAGTACTCTGCAAATTTTATTGACAGGAGAGAAAGGCATCTGAAAGTTGAATTTGCATAAAATAGTGCAATTTTATAGCTAAGTGATGAAAAGAAAGAAATGACAACAAAAATTCTTATAATCTCTTAAAATCTGAGTTGCCTTTTTGATGTGTTGAGATGAGAATTTTTTAGCCACTTTATTTTTAATTTTAGGTTTCATTTTTAATTTTAGGTTAAAGTCAATAGCAACTGCTTCTGAGTAATTTAGTCCTTGATGAAGAGCTGATTTGGAGGAGCAAACATGGAAGTGTACAGAAAACGAAGGAATAAAATGAAACTAACTTCTGTTTAGTAAATATCGCACGATTTGAAATGGGATGGAAGGCAAATAGAAGAAGGCTTACAACAAAGAGTAGTTCTTAAGTTGGAAATGTTGCATGTGACCAGGATATTGTTACGTTTTTCTCTTCCTGACACTAGTTGTTATGTTATTTTCTTTCTTCACATTCGTACAGGGTTCGTAGATTTGGAGTGAATAACAACGACACTGGATAAAGTATCAAAACACACTTTATTTAGCCAATATTAATCAGGACAATAATCCAATAACACTTTTACAGTTGTCGAAATCTACTATAAACACACTGGAACAATCAGCAATACAGCCTTCACACTGTCAGGCAATAACGGTGGAGATAGCTTCACTGCAAAGCACAGAGTACAGCTTCCGACTCTGTTTGGTCATTCTTGGAACTCCACGTACTCTCGAGACTCTCCTTGCGATGCACTCGATGATACATAAGAGTATAGCTCTCGACTCAGCACAGTCTAAGACAAAACTCAATGATGCACTAATTCGCGATGCACTAAAAGACTCTCTCGATGCACTTGACGACCAACTTGGCACTAGACTTCAAGACACTTGCTCAATGACTGACTATCAGCTCGCAAGGCACACACACTAACTGACTGCAGACCAGCAGGGTTTATATAGCTTTTGGCTTGTGTTCGAGAACATTCTGGTCTAAACCGGTAAGAATTCTTTCCAGAAGGTTCTCCATCCGTCCATGGTACATCGCCAATTTTGTTGCCAAATGGACGATTTCTTGCCAAATGTGGCAACCCTGCCTTCACTTGCTGTTTTATGGCAACCCTAAAATTTCACATTTGCTTTGCAGGGAAGCCATCCTACCGCGCCTGTACATTTCGTAACAAGGAATCGAGGAACTGAAGGAAATTAGATGTCTCAAATTCAAAAGGTGAACTGAATAGCAGGATCAGTAGAATTTGTTATTGAAAGAATTTCATTTAAATCATCTTTAAATGTGGTAAAAGTATCATCAACATAACAGAACCACACAGGAAAGTTAAAAATTTTATTACCTAACAGGTACAAGGCAGTGCTTAAATTTGATACAATAGAGTGGGATGAAATGCCACTTCTGTAAATTTTGGGTAAAGCATATAATCTGGCACAATTTGCAACAGATGGGATAAGCAGTTTTTTTTAAGTGTGTGGCAAGGATCTGCCAAGATTTAATTGCAGTTTTAATTTTTGAGGGGTTCAAAAATAAAGCCTCAGTAGGGACCATATTATATCGCCCTTTGTTTAAGAGTTTAGCAGCAGCATCAGTGTAAGTGTTTTTGCCATGATGCATATCTAGCCGCCTTTGTTGGCCTTTGAAATGATAATGTCTTGGTCAGAAAGAATTTTGCATAGTGTAACTTTTTCTGTGCTAAAGATCAAAGGTCTATTCTTAAATTTCACATTTGGGAGAGACCATACTGGTACTGTCTTGTCTGCCCCTTGGTTGTGAGGACATTACATGATTTGATATTGCAGGCTGTCTAAGGGGGATGGACTCTCCTTGGTCAATACTGAGGGATGGACGATGTCAACCTTGTGACCTTGTTTATTGTCAGTGGATGCTAGCCATCAACCACTGTGCTTGAGTTCATTTACTTTGCGAATGTAACATTCAAAATCCCTCTGGACTGAACAAGGGAGGTGGCTCTTCCTCAGATCACATCTGGAGGTTGGGGTATTTATAAACCGTGTTATGGCTGCCTCATGCATACCAGGTCTGGGATCCCCTTCCTCTGGTGAACTGCTAAATTTCACAGTATGGGAGATAGGGTGCTGAATCATTTCTTTCTCTGTATTTGAAACTTTACTGAATATGAAAGCTTTTTTAATAGGATATAAAATCTTTGGAATCAAAGGCTTTGAGGTTTGTGAGAAGTTAAAATCATATTTGAGACTTATCATTTGTTCCTCTGATGAATTAACTGATTAACATTAGAAATAATAATTACTGACTTGGTATTTAGAATGGGAAGATTTTTTTTAAATGTTTAAATTAGAAGATTGTGAAAGGAGGTTTGAGAATTTAAATGCAAGGGTTTTTTTATGATGTTTAACATAGTCAGTTCTGGACTAGACTCTTGTTCAATAGCAGTGAATGCTGGACATGAATGCAAGTCTCAGATGAAGCTTTTATAGCTCTGATTCCGTTTTGGATAATTGTTGACACATGTCCTTTATGATGTACCAAAGCAATGCAAATTTGAAATTTAAAAAAGAAATTAAGATCAAGTGAAAGGTTTTTGATTATATTTAATCTAGATGAAATCGGAGATCATTTTTTTATTCTTTAGTAAATAAAGGTGATTAACAAATTTCTGTCATTTCAGACATAATTTTGTGAAACGATCAAAGGTTGAAGTCAAGTTAAAAAGGAAACAAATGCATTTTGTTTTCCAAAATAAGTATTGCAACTAAACTGAGCCATCAGACTTGGAGAGCTGTCATAGCTCTATTCTTTGTAATATCTTATATGCATTATTATAAATCAAAATCATTTGGAATTTTAAACTTCCCTGTGTGATTCCATTACATTGTTGATACCTTTAGTCTGTTTGATAGTGGGAAAGGTCATTTAAATAAAGTTTAATGAATTCTTTTGATCTTGCTATTCAATCCACTACCTCAAATTCAAAAGTGAACTTGAGATTTCCAATTCTATTCCATTTGTCGACATTTTAATCGCATCAACGTAGCCAATTTCATTGCTTCTCTTTACCATAAACCTTCATCTGTTTGCCTTCCATCACACTTCAAATCATGTCATTTGACTAAAACGAAGTAGCTTTATTTTATTCCTTTGCTTTGTGTGAACTTCAAGTTTGCTCCTTCAAAGCAGGTCTTAATCAAAAATTAAAATGCTTAAAAGCAGTTGTTATTGACAGAGGCTTTTTGCATAATATTATTGACCAAGCGGTTAAAAAGTTCTCATCTTAACATATCAAAAAGCACTCTCTTCTTTTAGGAGATTATAAGAATGCCATTGCAATTCCTTTCTTTCTTTCTATGGACAAGCTATAAAATCAATTAGCACGTATTTTATAGAAACTCAACGTTTAGATCATTTTCTCTTCTCTCAATAAAATCCACAGTTCTATACTTTAGTACCTCATTCTGAATATAAACTTCTAAGGATATATGCAGATTCCTTGTAAATGTCATTTAATTTACATAGGTCAACTAAGCCTTAAAATTTTCATTAAGGATCATGAGGCATATATATATATTAAGAGAAAAGAAACTCTTAAATCTTCTGTTGCCTAATACTATTGGTCAGAAAATCACATTTTGCATATTTCTGCTGTCAAAATTATTCAGAAAGCAATTAGATCTTTTGGAAAATTAGATTTTTTAGATAGACTGATTAGTTTAGGCATTTCACATTCATAAAAGTCTTTTAATTCTAGTTAACAACCCCAATTCAAACTCACCTTTGCCCTCACGTTTTAGGGAAAGTATTTCATAGTAATTTTCATTTTTCATCAATTGATGCTGCCTGTAGTTTGATTTCCTTCCTCTCACCTTATGTTATTACTGGCTTCTCATTTGTTATTTGCACTTCTGCAGCTAAAGAATAAGGTTTTATACTTAAGCTTTCAAAACTAATCCTGCAGTTTATTAATGTTATGCTGATTCTTTTTGATTTAACACCTTCAATCATTTGGTTTTGATTTGCTGAATTTGCAGCTTACAACTTAAAGTCTAATGTATCTTCATGCTAATTCCTATAATATTTAATTTGTGCACGTTTCAAAATAGGTGTAAAATACTTCTCATTAACTAGAAGTAGCGAAATAGGCATTAAAATACTTCTTATTATTTTAGAAATGTTTTATTTTTGCCATTTATTATTTACATCTGCTGTAATTCTTAGAATTTCTGATCCATTTTTTAATGTTTGTCTGTTTTATTAATAGAATTTTTTGAGAGCAAATATAATTGCTATGAATTTGTATATTTTGTCATAAATCCATTTTGTTAAAGTTTATTTTAAATGATGTCTATGTTGAAGTCTTTGCAGTAGATAAATGACATATTTAATTGTATAGTGTATAACATATGATGATATATTTGATCAATATATAAATGATATATTGATCAAATATATGAACAATATATCATTTGATTGTATGGTATATAATCAAATATATCATTTGACTGTATAGTGTATAATGTATGATGGTATGTATATTTGATTGTGTATTGTATAAAACTATAATAAAGTCAAACAATGTGAAGTTGCTCTGCTTTTATTAACAAGTTAAGAAATAATTTCAAGTGCTTAAAATTTTGTATGATAATGTACAAATGTAGTATAAGAGTTTATAATTTTTCATGCAATGTTAAGTATTAAAAGTCACATGGAATTTTTATATTAAATAATTTGTTTTAAATATTTTGATTTTCTCTTTGTAGAATTTTTATAAAAATGAAATCAACAGAAAAGAAATGTATATACGCTACATCTATAAGCTCTGTGAGCTCCATTTACCTGCTGAAAACTATACGGAAGCTGCCTTTACTTTAAAATTACATGCTGATTTGTTAAGTTTTTCAAACAACACCTTACCTGCTGATCAGCGATATAATCAACAGCCTGAATGGCAAAGAAGAGAAGCTTTATACCACAGAATAATTGATTATTTTGATAAAGGCAAAGTAAGTACAAACCTAAAAAATATCTACTATGTTCATAATATGCTGTTGTTGGTATTAATTAACTTTCCCCAAGCATATTAAATATCTCATATTTTGTGTATTAATTTTAGTGTTGGGAAGAAGGTATACCTCTTTGCAAAGAATTAGCTGAACTGTATGAAAAGAAGCTATTAGATTATGCCAAATTAAGTAATGTATTGGTATGTATTTTACTAATTTTTTATTGAATTTTTTTATATGTGGAATGTTAAAAATTTAATTTTCGTATTCATTAGAAGTATTTTTATTTTCTAAACTTTCTTTCCTTTTTATATGAATCAGTAATATAAAGTTTAAATAAATATTGACTTTTACATCATTTAGATTACTGTCTCAAGTAAAAGTATTAGTTAAATGTGATGGAGTTGTATATCTTTGGTGGAAACATAGTCAAATACAATGAAGAAATATCTTCTGAAATGATTTACAAATGTTATATATTGTGTAAATGAGCGTGTTGTGAAAAGTATGGAAACAAAGGCTATTATGTACTTTGAATTAAAGACAAATTTGTGCACTAAATGGATGCCTTGATAAATTCAGGACTGATATACTGTATACAGAACTTTGAACAGTGCAATAAAAAGTCTAAATTTGATTTATAAGGTCTTAGGGTGAAGATAAACCACTGGTTCAAATGTAAGATAATAATTTCTGTCTTAAGATATGAATCTAAAAATCATACTTGCCTTATGTATACAGTTTATTATTTGTAGTCTTATATATGTAATTTATTATTACAATTTTATACAGGAAGTATATAAAAATAATTTATTATCAGTGCTTTACCTTTTACATTGAAAGAAGACATATTTTTTTACTTTTATTTCAAAGTTTGGTACTGTGCGTAGTTAGCGTAAAAGAAATGAGAGATGCATTTTATTAGTGATAGCATTTAATTACTTGTTGTCTCTTGTTCTGCTAGAGTTCTTTATTCCAAAAAGAAAAACATATGTAAATTAATTTGTTCTTAAAAGGAAAAAACCAGTTATTATGACAAATACATTTTAAAAAGAATTCTTAGTGTTGTGGAACATGCCAGTTATCAAAAACTAAACTTTTACATTATTTTCATGTTCCCAGAATTTACATCTAATAGATTATCATAATAAATTCACAATAACCATAATTTAGCAGAGGAAAAGCTTAAGCATCAGCCAAACGATAACATTACAAGTATCGAACAGGTATTTTGATCCTTTAATTATCTTCTTTGGAAAAACACTTGCCTTAAGGTACTACTGTTTTACTATTCTTGTATATTTCTAAATTCGTGTGTACTGCTAAGTATACAGCACACTAAGGATAAGGACACATTTGTGAAAAAATGTAGTTCATATTCACATTGCAAATGGTGAAAAAATCATTCATGCACACTTAGATTCAAATCTGGATTGAATTACTCCTGCTCAGTAGTATTATCTACTCAACATTCATGCATGCCCTTTAAAAGTAGGATGTGTAAATAAATGCTTAAGTGAAAGGTATGAAATACGTCTGAAGTTTTGGATTTATATTAGGATTTGATAAATTAAAAATTTTGCTGTAATATTTGATACATGAGAAGAATGCTACTTTTAATTATAATATGCAATCTTAAAGCTTGCCTCTGGTTTAAGAAAATTGCATTCTTATTCATTATTTTTCTTTCAGTCATACTCTTTTCCTGTATACCGAATTGCATTTCCATGTATTTTATATTATTTGTTCATTATAATATATAAGTAATTTTAAATATACACTGATCATCAAACTTAAAGGATAATAAGAAAATATATGCTCACTAAAGTTAAAGTTGCAACTAGTACACAATGCCATAATTAGTTATGTTAATTAAATGAACACAAAATGGCACTTCTGCACATATGTTAGCATTGGAAATATGAAATGTGGTGATTGACAGTGTGATACGCAAAAGACGCATGTTGGAATTCCAGTCTTTTGTGTTGTTTAAAGTGAATGTGGTTTCTGAGAGTGATCAGTATTCAAAGGCATTGTAATGACCTTACGGATGAATAAGGCACCATAAGGAAAACGACACCAACATTTATTAAAAATTAACTTTCAAAGAATAATGGAAAAAAAAATTAACATTTAAAGAATAATGGCAAACTCGGAGCACTACCTCGCTCCTACAACATACTTAATCTACCACCTGCCTCCTCTGAGGCTAATATGCAACTGTTGTCTCTCTCACTTGCTGGGCTCTGCCAGGCAGCTGATTAGCTCACCGCTGCCAGATACATGACACCCCCCCGGTAGATTGTGCTACGCCAAGCGAAGCAGAATCTGAAAACTGAACCAGCAAATACAAACTTAAATTGTATACTCCACATACCAATTAATTCAAAATATATATGAACATGTATACATGATGTAATAACATACTTTGAAATAAATGCAATAAACATTCATCTCACAACAGATGAACAGATGGCTTGATACAATACCGGAGTTCTGTAATAAAACATATATGCAATACTATTTCAAAACACACTATTATAATGCATATTAAATGGAAACCAGTAATTTGATTTTCAAAACAGATGGAAAGTAGCTCTCGTACAATTCCGGAACAAAAGAAAGTAACTAATGCAAAGTTTTAAAACATATTAGTTCATACTTAGTTCACACCTATTTCATTCACCCACTAGTCTTGAAAGACCATCTGCATTTTTTAATTGTGCACCAGGGCAATGAGAAATATGAATATTATAGCGCTGAAGTGCCATTGCCCACCTCTGTAATTTGGCTGAATGCGGTGCCGACTTATACAAATATAATAATGGATTATGATCTGTGATCAGCTCGATATTCGATCCAAACACCCAACACTCGAACTTTTTTAATGACCACACAACGGCATAAGCCTCGCGTTCAATAGTTGACCAGTTCTGCTGAGTTTTCGAAAGTTTTTGACTGGCAAAGCTGATAGGATGCAAACTGCCTTTGCTGTCTCGTTGTGACAAGCAAGCACCAACACCATATGAACTAGCATCACACTGTATGGTGTGTAAGGTTTTTTCTGGTTCTGGAGTGTACAGTTTTGGTGCTTCACACAGTCGACGTTTCAGTTCTTGAAATGCTGATTCCTCAACATCAGTCCATGGAATTATCTCAGGAATTTTCTTTTTCGTAAGCTCCGTCAATGGGCGAGCTATTTCTGCATAATTCTTTATGTAATCACGATAATAGTTGAATAAGCCTAATGCACTCTTTAGAGCAGGTCTTTGGTTTTAGGACTTTTTATAATTTCAATGGCTTGTAATTTTTCAGGATCAGGTTGATGTCTTCCAGCTCCTATTATATGTCCTAAATACTTTATCTCCGAACGTGCAAAAACACATTTCTTCACGTTCACCGTAAACCTGAGATCACTTAATGTAGTTAGCACAGCATCTAAATGTTTGAGATGCGAATTCCAATCTGGTGAAAAGATAGCAATATCATCAATATATGCTTTGCAAAAATCACTATGTTTTCTTAAGGCATCATTCATCACTCGCTGAAAAGTAGAAGCTGCATTTTTTAATCCAAAAGGCATCACTTTCCAACGATATTGGGAACGATGTGTCTTGAATGATGTTAAATCACGACTTTCTTCTTCTAAAGGTATTTCCCAGTAACCTTTCAAGACATCTAAACAGGTGATAACATTCGCGTGTCCAATTTTATTGATTAGATCAGTCACATTCTCCATTGGAAAATCAACAGGCTTGGTTACTTGATTCAACAACCTGAAATCAATACATAAACGCATACTTCCGTCTTTCTTGGCAACACATACGACTGGGTATGCTATTTCAGCTTCACTTGGCTCAATAAGACCCAAGCTCTCCAATTCCTCGATCTGTTTATCTACTTCAGGTTTCAAAGATTCTGGGATCTTATAGATATATGGCTTTTTTCTTTCAGCTCCAGGTAACAACCGAATTCTATGTTCACCAACGCTGGCTATTTGGATCTCCCCAGAAAATAACGTGATGTGCTTGAGTAAGAGCTCGTGTAATTCCTTTTGTTTGCTATCCTCTAAATGACTAATATCCACCTCGATGTTCCTTCTAGTTACTGCGCAATCTCCTTTATTTGGAGTTGGTATGAATTTCCCCAAACTCAGAATCATCTTCAAATATCACTCCCCACAGTTTGTGCTCGAACATAAAATTTTCTTATTTTGTTTCACATGAACATGCCTCACACTCCCATCGGGTAATTTAACTTTGTAAGAATGAGGATTTACTCTTTCAACAATTTCACCTGGACCTGTCCACCTAGCATATAGCTTGTTGCTAGAGTCTGGTATAAGTAAATATAATATACTAGATCACCATTTTTAAATTCTTTCAAACTTTTGCGACGGTTAAAATAATATGCATAAGCTTCTTGTTTTTCCGCGGCAGATAAAGAAGCGAGCTCAGATGCTTTCTCTAAATTTATCTTTAATTCTTGTAGATAATCAACTGCTGAATTACTCAGATTAAGAGGTAATGGTATTTCACCGGACCATGATGATTTTAACACAGCTAAGGGACCTCTAGCTTCACGACCGTACATAAGCATAAATGGAGATACACCGGTAGTGCAATTTGGAACTTCACGATACGCAAAAAGTAAATAAGGTATGTGCTTGTCCCAATTAACAGGATCTGTGCGAATTACATGATGTAACATTTGTTTAAATACCCGATTCCATTTTTTCCACTGAGCCGTTTGATGCTGGGTAACCAGGTGTCGAAAAACGAGGATGAGTTCCTAACCTTTTTTCGAATTCTTGAGTTAATTGTGAGGTAAAATTAGTGCCTTGATCACTACAAATTATTTCTGGAATACCGGTTCTCATAAAAATATCTAAAAGAGCCTCACAAGTAGCTTTAGCAGAAAGACTTTTTAAAGGTATGACTTCTGGCCATTTTGAATGATTATCTATCAAACACAAACAATATTTATGTTTCCTTCCTGAAGGAGGTGAAATTTCACCAATAATATCTATATTTACTGTATGAAAGGGATATGGCGCGCGAACAATAGGAGTAATCGGAATTTTATCCGATTGTCTTTCCGGACTTTTTAATTGACATCTTTCGCATGTTCTACAATAATTTTCTACATCTTTGGATATGTTCGGCCAATAAAATGAAAGCTTAATTCTTTCTTTAGTTTTCCTCATACCTAAATGATTTCCGAATATGGAATCATGAGCTAATTGAAGGACTTTATTTCGATAATTCTCGGGCAAAACTAACTGTTGTATGTTTTCCCCACAAATTTTTCTTTATGAAATAATAATTCGTCCTGTAAAAAGAAATTATTCTTCCTACTTCTGCGTCCTTAAAAGAATTTATTAACGTTTGGCAGTTTCTCTGATCGACCTTAAATTTATTCGATTCCGAATAACTGTTTAGTCTTTCATCATTCTGATTCGCAACTGAGCTATAAAAAAAGATTTACATTTGACAGTTCAACGGCGCCAACCTCAAGTTGTTTTTGTTTATGAGTTTCCGGTTTCGTTCAGGGAAGACTGTTGATTCATTCTCGTCTTCAAATATGCGATCCCATACATCTGGTGTGTAATTAAACATTGAACATTTAGCTTATCTGTCAACGCGAAAAGAAAAGAGCTTCTACGCGCGAATATAGACAACTGTTTGGTTTTTTGTAATAAATGGGAATAGTTGCTAACGTTGCCTCTATGACGTCGCCAAATGCGGAACTTAAAATGATTTTACCCTTACTTTCTATTTTTAAATCAGGAATTAATGTAGTGTTCAAAATTGGTATTTCCGTACCTGAATCTTTTATAGCTTCTACTTGCTTCCCTGCAATGTAAATAGTAATCTTTTCCAAGGAATAAAAATTAAGTTTTCCGTCGGAACACTCGCGTTTTTGTAAATGTTTAGAATTTACATTTGTAACAACCGCATTGTCCTTCGGTTTACTTGAAGTGTTAACTTTCGGTTTGACCGGGAAAATTATCGTTCTGTTTATTGGACCTCTCAAATTTATTTCGCCTGTTCGGGCAATCCTTAGCCAAATGTAAACTGCTACTACACACATAACATTCTCGCGGTTTAAACGAATGTTTCTGTTCATTTACCACTAAATCTTTTCTTAGCGCTGGTGGAATATATTTAGAGTTTTTGTTGTATGAATCACGAAAATTAGCGCGTTTTTCACCTCTTATGTCATCAAAAGATTTACCTTTTGCGATGAAATAAGTGTCGCATTCCTTCGCTAGTTCTTCTGGACGTAGCCAACTTTCACCTTGTCGAACTGCACGTAGCCAACTTTCACCTTGTCGAACTGCAACATGGCACGCTAAATCACTATCCAATGTTTGAAAAAGTTTGTCAGAAATTATTAAGTTAATTAAAGACTCAAAATCATTGACGTTTCTACTTTTACAATAATGGATCCAACATGATCTTAAACGAGAGGCGAACTGCAAATGAGTTTCCCCCGTCAACCTTTGAGCTTGGCGAAAATTTTCTAAACATATAATTGGCGATGGTTCATATTCCTTAAGAATTAAAGATTTAATTTTTTCATAATCTTTCAAATCATCATCTTTAATATATACTAGAATATTAGAAGATTTATCACCTATCAGTTTAAGTAAAATTTCAGACTTAAACTCATTTGGTACGTTCTTATGCTTAAAAGCCCTTTCTATGGAATCAAAAAATAAGTTCCATGCTTCACCCTTTTTAGGTACAGAAATCGATAATGCCTGTACAGCTTTCAAAAGCTTATCTAATGAAAGTGTATTTTCTACGTTATTACTAGATTCGTTGCTACTTTCGATTTGCATTAAACGCAATTTCACAATTTCTTCTGACTTTTTCCTTTCTTCAACCGTAGTATTAAGAAATTCAATAACAAAATCTTTATCTTTCAAATATTCTTTAGAACTTAAAAGCTTATCTTTTAATTCTACAACTTTTAAACTAGAATCGGCTTCTTCACCTAGTTCCTTCAACACCGAAATCAAATCACTTTTAACTACTCCTTTAAACATATTTAGAAGAAATTTTCCTTAAAGTTACAACAAAAATTTCTCACCTTTTCTCCAAAATCCAGTCGGCTTCGTTAGCTCTGGTTCTCGAAAGAGAGCGTGCTGTAATGACCTTGCGGATTAATAAGGCACCATAAGGAAAAAACGACACCAACATTTATTAAAAATTAACTTTCAAAGAATAATGAAAAAAAATTAACATTTAAAGAATAAAGGCAAACTCGGAGCACTACCTCGCTCCTACAACATACTTAATCTACCACCTGCCTCCTCTGAGGCTAATATGCAACTGTTGTTTCTCTCACTTGCTGGGCTCTGCCAGGCAGCTGATTGGCTCACCGCTGCCAGATACATGACAGGCATCATTTAAGTGAAAGTCAAAAGTGACACTAATCAGTAGAATTGAGGGTGGTTAAACACAAATGGAGGTTGCCGAATATTTGAATATCCCTCAAAGTGTCATCTCAAGAGTTTAGAGCTGCTTTTTAAGCCCTGGATTAGTTGATAGACAGCAGGGTCAAGGGTGATCAAGAGCAACAACTGCATCAGAAGACCATTTTTTGTCATCATTCGCTTAAAGAAACCACGAAATGACTACAAGTGATTTGGTTTTAGACCTACAGACTGCCATAGGAACTCGAATTAGCCATTTTGTTGCTGCACAAAGGCCTAATGAGGTTGGACTGTATGTGAGAAAACCAGTGGTTTCTGTCCCATTTATCCCATCTTCCAGAGGAGCCATTTACACTGATGCCATCGTCATGTTCAGTGGAGCCAAAATGACTGGGCCTGAGTATTGTTTGCTAATGAATCCAGATATAGTCTGAACAGTGATTCTAGATGTGTTTCAATCTGGAAAGAGGAAGGAATTTGCAACATGCCTTCTCTTGACCATGAAATGTCCATTTCCACGACCATTGTTTAATGGTTTGGGCAGGAATCAAGACAAATGGCCACACCGAGCTGCATATATTTCAAAGAGGTTCTATAACTGCTCAGAAATGTGTGGGCAAGGTATTGTAACCCCAAGTTAGACTGTTTAGGGGTGCTGTTGGCTCGGAGTTTTTGCTAATGGATAACAATGCTCAATCTCATCAAGCATATATGATGTAAGAATACTTGTAAACAGAAAATCTCACTTGAATGGACTGGCCACCTTACTCACCCAACTTGAGCATGTGGGGGATGCCTTGGGGCATTGAATTTCAACACATCAAATTCTTTCCCAGTCCCTACTGAAACGTGCACTTTTACAACAATGGTGTGCAGTTCCATAAAACTTGATCAACATTTTGGTAAAATATATAAAATCATGTTGTGAATTATGCATGAATTATGCATATCTGTCAGATGTGACCAAACATCATATTATAGATAAAATTTTTCCACAAGAGGTGACATAATGATATTGTAATTTATGTTAACTAATGCTTTTGTGCAAATTTCGATTAATAATTTTTCATTAAGTATAATTTACATTTTAATTCTGTCATTATCCTTTAATTTTGATGACTAGTACAAATTCAGTAATAAGACGTGTTTCAAACTCGTAAAAGGAAATAGTTACATTTGCTTGTTATTAATCTCTAAAAGTTGATGATTGTAAGATAAAGCATACCAATGAAAATATTTAGTAATATTATGTAAATAATTTATGTTTCTTCATATTCTACTGTCTTTATATATTTCTGATATTGTCAATTACATTCAAATCCTTTTTCTATAAGACAGCAGGAATAATTTTTATGAGCATTAACTATTATAATAATCCTGTGTTTTGCTGCATTGTATTTGTATATATACTATATTAATTGTCTAATTAAGGCAGAAATTTTGAACTCCTTTTTATAGTTTTAACTCTTTGATTTTTGCTTTAATATGGAGTTTTTATTAATTTAGAAAACACAGGCCAGATTTTTTGATAACATATTGAATCAGATCCGACCTGAACCTGAATATTTCCGTGTTGGGTTTTATGGTTTGGGATTTCCTTTGTTTTTAAGAGTGAGTACTGTCTTTATGAAATGTTTAGTGAGTTTTATGTTGGTGTTTATAAGCTCATTATTTTGTTTTAATCAATGAAATTTAACTATTGTTATATATTCCCCCCCTTTAATCATTATACAGTGGTAATAATATTGTGGGAAGTACATATGTTTTATTTAACATTTTTAATCGCATTAAAAGTTTACTATTAAATGCATAATATATCTGAATATTGATATATAATGTAAAGATTTACAAATTGTTATCAGTTAAATTAAAAATTCTTTTTTATATATCTATAAATTTTCATTTTAATTTCATACAGTAAAAGCTTGACTATTTGGAAAGTTCAGGAAATGCCGAATTACTGATAAGTGAGCATATAAAAATTGCGATTCATGGTAGAAATGTCAAATAGAAGAAAATTTTTCCGGTTTAAAATTATATAAAAAATAATTTTATTTGTTATCTGCTTGAATATCAAATATATGCATTTAAATTATGTGAGATTTCAAAAGAAGAAAGAGCATTCCAGACATAAATGCTGAAGTAAAACATCATGTTTGGTTATGAAATTTCGTTGATTATGATCTCACCAAACTTGCACCACTCATTCTGGCAAAAGTTTGAAGGAACAGCTAGCTCTTTATTTAGTTAATTTATGTGTACAAGTTACAGACATTACATATAAAAAACTTAATTGCCATAATTTTCATTTTGGACAGCCAGTGTTAATCCATTTTCATATAAGTCACCCGTATCTTGATAAAAATAGTTTACTGTATGCTGTTCTGTTTGAAGACAAGTACTAAATTTTAATAATTTTTCCAAAATGCAATTGAAAATCAAATAAACAGCAGTTAATTTACATCATTTCTTACAAAAAATAAACCCATTTATCAAAAATTAATCAGGTTTATGTAAAGCCAAAGCAAAATACATCATACTTATCTATTATTGGTACTAAATTATTCTGTCAGGCATCAGTTTTTGTTTGATTTGAATCCTAGTTCTATTTCTGCTTCATAACAGAATTTCAAATCTCCGAATAATCAGGCTTTTACAGTATTTGAATTATTTTTTCATATTTGTGTGTCAAATTTTTTTCAAGACAGTTTTTGTATTTGCTTATATTTTTACAATAATTAAATAAAATTTTACATCCAAATATATTAGTTTTAAATTATAGTCTGCTACCCAAACCCCTGCCCTTATACCAACCTATATACCCACCCAAAGAAAGAAAGATCGTTAGAACCAAAATTGAATTCCTATTTTAAAAATCATTAAAACTGATGTGTTAAAGCATTTTTTTCCCATTTAGATTTCATTACATCAGCAAATTTGAAAACTCTTTATTTTTTAATTCTTCTTCTTTTTCTTTGTACAGTACAGTCAAAAGTCATTAATTCGGACACCCATAATCCGGAATAATCTATAATCCGGACATCAAAGCTTCAAACTTTCTGGAGAATATGCTTGTGTGCGGATGCAAAATACGGATGTAAAATACGATGTAAAATACGTTTAATGTATAACGGACGGTATAAGCTAAGCTAAAATTATTTAATTATTTATTTCAGTTAATGTTGCAGATTGCGTTGTTCCTTAATCTTCGAATGGGATCCGGCTTATTATTTTTTGCAGACTGTTAGAGCAATTTTATAAAAGTAAGCTTGAACTTTCGATTATGTCAAATAGAATTTCTGATATATATTTATTAATATGTAAATGATCTACAAAGCGAAAGTATGTTTTCGAAGTTCATTAAACAAAAAGTGGAATTGCTCAAAAAAATGGATAACGGGTTATCCTTTGTTTATCTAAACTTTAACGTTTGTTATCTAAACTGTTTATCTTTAAGCCTGCGCACCGGCAATGAATTGGAAGTTGATCTGTCAGCACTATCCTTATCTTCAGGGCAGAGTTTTTATTTATTTGGCTTATAATTTGCTTATTCTTCAGGAGATGCTTATAATTTCTTAAGGACTGTCAGCACTATCCTTATCTTCAGGGCAGATTTTTTTATTTGGCTTTTAAGTTCCTTATTAAATGTGTATTATCTCGATGTACTCCATCTTTGATATGATTTAAATCAAATTCCTCATCATTATAATTTGCTTCCGATAGCGAAGAAAGTGACAGAGTTATTGAAACGAAAAAATTTCGATTGAAAAATTAGTCGGTATTCTCGACACAGCAATTATAGGACTTGAACAAACTTTGTAACTGAACAAGAAATTATGTCTGTTTAAAGAATTAAAGAGAATGTATTATCACTAAAAACGAAGCAACTTAAACAACTTACATTGAAAGAAATGTTTAATAAAGTAAACAAATAACACTTTTTTTTTTTTGTAAATTTTGATACCCTTTAGATCATAATTGTTCTTTATTTCATAAATTATGGTTTCATATTTTTAATTTTAGAATTTCTGCATGCCATCTTACCAGATTTAAACTGATAATCGATAATCCAGAATCGTCGAAGTCCCGACGAGTCCGGATTAACGACTTTTGACTGTACAAAGTCCGAAATCCGGACGTCCATTAACCGGAATAATCTACAATCCAGACCTCAAAACTACCAACAACGTTTTCTCGTAGGCTTTGCGCATGTGCACATTTGATCCCCCCTTCTGCACATAATAAAACATCTGGAGAGTCACGATTATTAATTTCACTTCGACACTAAATAAAATACCTTGTTATTGAAGAAACAATCATTTTAGCATAAATTTGTATGATCAGTAATTTGGCTTCATTTCTGCATATCTGCTTGGTACACATCTCGAACTGAAACATTCCATATAGATATATCGTTGATTTGATGCCAACATGGCAAATCATTATTTATTATACTTTCCTTTCATCACCGCATGTTTTTCAAAACATGCCAACTTGAGTAATGACTGATGTAGCGATGCCTAAACAATTTTTTTATGTTAGTAATTTAATAACAAAGGAGTATGGTAACTTTTATGTTGACATTACGCTTGGCGATGATTACAGATTTAAGTTGATGTGCTAAAAAATGTTGACGAGGAACAGTTTAACAAAATTTTCTTTGCATATGCTAAAAATAGATTTTATTGATTATACTCATAGACCCAGAGATTACATTTAGGGCTATTTGAATTAAGAATAACTGATATGTTGTCACATAAACCCAGAACCAGTACCAGGGATCGTATGGCCGCATCGGGTCACAGAATTTAGGACCCATAGAGACTGCATCAGGCAGTAAGATATCTAATGCCAGCCCTCAATAAGGCTTCAGTATATATGAGAATTTATTTATTGAGATAAGCCTTAAACATTGCAAGAAATAGACATAAGTATAATAAATAACTAATACAATTCAGGTTTAATTGTCTCAGTATGTGATAGAAGGAAGATATAATTTAACGGAACAACTTGCTATTAGTCGCCAAGCTCATGATGCATAGCCAGATATGCATAAGTATAGCTAAATTTGATGATGATAGCTGTTAATTTTAAAGGTTTTTGGATATCGCAGATTAAAGGTGAAATTTTTCCAATTAACAGATTTTGTAAAACGGTAATAAATTAAAGAAGCAGTAATAAATTAAGAGGATATAAAAGGAGGTTTTGATTGTGATGACTGGTTCTCAATCATTAATCAATTAATGAATGACAAAATCTATAGTATGGTTCTAGATCCAGAAAATACCACTAGCAATAGTGGAGAAAGTGACAGAGAAGTTACTGAGAACAAGAAAATTTTGATTGACAAGTTAGTCGGAAATCTTGAAACAGCAGTAACAACAATGTAACTGAACAAGAGATTATGTCTGTCTACAGAATTAAAGAGAAAGTATTAGCACAAAAAAACGAAGTAACTTAAACAACTTGCATTGAAAAAATGTTTAATAAGGTAAGCAAATAGATATTAAGCTTTTTTTGTAAATTTTGATACTTTTAAATTATAAATACTTCATTATTTCATAAATCAGGATTTCATATTTTTAATTTTATAATTTCTACATGCCATCTTACTAGATTTAAACTAATGAATCTAATATCCAGAAAAATCCCAAATCCGGAATCACCAAAGTCCCGATGAGTCCGGATTTCCGACTTTGTACTGTATTGTCAAGAATTGGTTTCATGTGATGAAATGTAATATGGTATAAAGAAAAATGGAGTTTAATGCCTGTATGTATTTCTAGAATAAAGTGTTTGTGTACCGAGGACTTGAATATGAAAGAATCGGTGCTTTTACACAACGTTTACAAACTGAATTTCCTCAAGCTCAAATTTTGATGAAAAGCACAGTTCCTGATGATAGTATATTAAATTCAGATGGGCAGTGTATCCTTTTTAAATTAAGTTATTCATAGAAATAAAGAGGTTTTAATTTCTGATAAAAAAAAGTATATTTTGTTGCTGATTATCTGTCAGTTTAGGTTAATGGTCCTTTTTATGCATTTCATTTATACGTTACAGTGAAACACCAAAATCTGGAGAACGTCAATTTTCACCAGTGAATATCAACATTCACATAGTCGCTTGGTGTATGTCCGAAATATTTTCCAAATACTCTTATTTCTGACTTACACCGATGAATGTCGACATTCACCATGTACTAAGGGAATGTTGAACATATAAAATATTATATTTTCTCCATAATTCGTCGCGAATAAACGCACTTGAATTAATTAGAACTAAGAACATGAGAACCTAAAACACACAATACATCAAATGATAAGGAAAATAAGGAAGTTTAAACTTACCAATTAGGATTCAAATCTTATTATTGCAAAAACTTAAACTATTATGACACTGGAATTGCACAAGAGGCCCTTTTTTACAACTCATTATTGTGGACATTCCTTTTGAATGGCAGCGTGTAATAACTCTCTCTTTCAACCGAATTAGAGCATATCTGTGATTGTCAACATACACGGTGATGGCGATGTACAAGATATAAAGAAACTATTCGATCTTTCACCGAGTATTGGGAATATGCATTCTCGGTGAAAGTTGAATTCTCCAATTCGGTCTTTCACTGTAACATATATACAAAAAGTAATATTTTGAAAAATCATTAACATTTAGCGAGTTTTAGAATTTTATTGTTTTTAGAATTTTGTTTAGAATGTTATGGTTTAGCTCCTGGAAGTTGTTAATTTTTGTGATGAAATCTGCTTGCTGCATGAACATGCACATAATTTAATGTGTAATTTTTTTAATATTCTTATTGAAATTGCAAAATAGTCAGTGGAATTTAAGATTAGCTTATTGATAATTTCCATGATCTGAGTTTTTTAAATTTTATTTTATGAATATAACTTTAGTTTATTAGATACAAATGGTATGAATTTTATAATTTAAAAGCTTTTATTACATATTTATACTATCAGCTTCATGCTCTGTAATGGAGCATAATATTTGGTATTAAGTATAATATTTTTAGAAAATAATCAAAGAAACTAACTGTTTTTGATCTTGTAAGCCAAGCATAGAAGAACTATAGTTCAAAATATATATAAAAATTAAATATATTGAAATTTGAATATAATAGCACTCTAATTAAATAATTTTACATGATTTAATATTAAGTTTGGGTTTAAAGATGCCACGTTCTTACAGTGCATTAATGCGAGGTCTTCATTTTTCCTTCCATGCCTTCATGACATATACAACCTGAGGGTGTATGATGATATGCCTAAATTTTTGCAAGAGAAAGATTTTAACATTATTGTAATAATTCTGATATGAATTTAAAGTATTATAAATTTTTAAAGTTTTTAGTATTGTGATTAAGATCTAAGTGTATAGAATAGAAAAAGAATTTTAAAAATTTTTGTAGAATCTTTAAACGACAAGTCAAATTTTTATTTTTGCCAGAAATTAAAAAGATTTTAATATTTTTAAATATTGCTGTATTGAGTATAAATAGTTTTTGTTTTGCAATGGATAATAATAAAAATGGCTTATTTATATAAACCATATTTTATATATTTATTGTTCAAGTGTCATGAAAACTTTATATATTTTATCCTATATTGTACAGATATCCAAATTTGTAATGTGAAACCCATCCCTAAAGTTAGACCAGAATTTGAGAATCGGGACATTCCAGAAAAAATTATCAGTTATTATTTAGTTAATGATGTGTCTTCTTTCCAGTTTGACAGACCAGTGCAAAAAGGACAAGTTGACAAAGATAATGAATTCAAAGTATTTTTCTTTTCATCACTTCTATATTTGTGTTATGCTGCATTTGTAAGAATATATTTTTGTAAATTATAAATATAAGAAATATGCTGAATTAAAGATAGACCCTAGATATTTGATAATATAATTAATATTTATGAGAGAGAAATTTCATTATTATTAAGAAGTAAAAAAACAAAGTGTTTTCAAAAGAAGGATTTTGTAAAACTTTTTCCAATTTATTATATCTGAATGTATGCTGTTACTTTTTTTTTTTAAATGAGTTGATTATGTGTATATAATCAGAATTATAATAAGCCAAATGGTTAAATAAAAAAGATGAATTAATTCACATTTTTATATATAAATTTATATAGTATAATACTTCTTTGTTCAAAATGTTCATGGAAAAGTTGTCACTTGCACGAAATTTGTAATATTTGAATTTGGCTATTAGAAGGCATTATAATATTCTGTACATGTGAAATACTTGATGTTGACATCACCCAGGTCATTGATGTTGGAAAGCACGTGAGCATTTTTCAATAGTTCAGTGAGATGTTACAGCAAGAACCAAGAAACTTGGTTTCTTTCATCAGACGCAGATCTTTGTCATCTTACAACCACCTTGTGTGCTCAATAACCTTATCTATTGACAGTGTTATTTTCTGTTATCAACATAGCTTTATGAGGTTAACGTTTCCGGAAATTAAGTCTATCCAAGGTAAGGTGATGGCAACTTTTTGACCAGTTATCAAAGGAAGATCCTCTTCTACATGTATATCGAGAGCATTAGAATTATCGAGAGCATTAGGTATATGATTTCACTAGATATCTCTTAAAGGAGATTCGCTAACAATTTTTAACATTTCAAATTAGTATTACCTATGGACAATTTCTGTGAGCTTTTTGTACGTAGGAGTATATTTTCAATCTCCTGTCCCCCCCCCCAAGTAAACTATCTAAAGGTAAGAATTTTTTCAAACACTTAACAATAAATGCTTAAATTCAAAATTTTTTTTCAGGTGCATATGTTAATGTATATTTCATATCTAGTAGAATTTTTATTCTTATCTGCAAATATTTTTTCTAGAATAAAAGGAATGCTTAAATCATAGGTATATTATTACTGCTGTAATGCAATTGACATTCAATTGAATAAATTACAAATGTTTGTCCGGTTCAGTGGAAGCTCCCTTTTTTCGTAAATGTTATTCTGATAAGATGGATTTACAAAATTTATTATTCAGTATATGGAGAATTTTTCTCACAAAGTGCAGGAGTGTCAAAAACATTTTTCTGCATCTTCAGGTTTTTGATGGGTCAGAATTTTTTTTCCTCTTCCTTTGAACATTGCATAAACAATTATCTTTCACCAGCATTTTCCTTGTAGTCAGATTTCGGGTTGCAATTAATCAGAACTTGTGCTACAAATGTTCCTATCCTAGAAATAGATTCTTCCCCTTTATTTTTACCTATTGAGGCCTTTATTATTTTTGTCGGTCATTGTTCTTCCATTTTAAAATGGTGTATTCTGTACCAGATAAATTAGAATAAATTATTATGTATAAAGTAGTACTTAAAAGTTAATGTTTGCATTAGAATTTTTTTATTAGATTGTAACTAATCTATAGTAAAATATTTATCTTTAACAGCCATTGCAAATAAGGAATCTGCATCTTTTCATTTTTTACAAATTTTATTTTTAAATACATATTTTAAATTCTTTTTTTTTTTTGTACCTTTGAAATAATGTATTTAAGATCTGTCAATTACGTAGCTGTATAAAAACTGAATAATCTCTTAAGTTTTAATTACTTATTTTACTGTTTTCTAGAGTTTATGGATTGAACGAACAACACTGACAATTGCATCTCAGCTGCCAGGAATTTTACGATGGTTTGAAGTTGTTGAATGGCATGTGGTTGAACTTTCACCTATAACTCATGCATGTGAAACTGTCGAGCATATGAACAAAGAGCTTCGCAAACTCATTGCCCAGTACACTGCTGAACCGCGGCGCTCAATTAGTCCACTTAGTATGAGACTCCAAGGAGTAATTGAAGCTGCAGTGAATGGTGGCATAGCCAAATACCAAGAAGCTTTCTTTACACTGGAATTTAGTTTGCAAAATCCTGAAGAAACACACAAAATTATCAAACTAAAATCATTGATTCTTGAAAAAGTATGTGGATTTTTCAACCCCCTTTTTGTTTTGCATAATTGATAAATAATGCTAGATTATTTAGTACTTAACTTCTAATTATTACATTTACATTCAAAGCCGAATGTAATAATGTATCCAAGTATATTTTCAGTTTATGAAGTTTATAAACAAGCTTGATTTGACATGTGGTAAATTACAGAATTTGGAAACACAAAGCTAAACTGTTTAGTTATATTATTAATATTATTAAGATATTATTTGAGATACTTATGTAAGTACAGCATAATTCCAGTAATCCATCATTCCTTTCATTGAAATTCCTGCTAAAAGATGCCATTGTTAATATTTCATTTAGCAGTATTCAGAAAGGCTCAGTACAGTTATTTTGCCTCTTTTTATCATTTTTTGCAGGTCTATTGTTCAAAACTATACTTTTATAAATTGTTTGCTTTCTTTATTTAATCAAAATGTTTTCAAAACTGGATAAAAGAATTTTGATAAGGAAATAAAACAGAAAATCTTGTGCTGGATAATATTATTCTAACTTGTTGATCAAAGAGTTATTCAGAACTTTAAAATATAAATATAGGAATTTATATTCAAAAATTTTTTAATTCTTATTTCAATATCAAAGACTATTCAGTTCAATACAAAAGATTCAATTTTCATGAGTGCTATTTCTTAGGAAACATGTTAACAACAAGATGTTACAAAAGGCTTGGTGAAAATTGTGGTCAATGCCAATGAAAAAAATTATACCAAAGGTGGCAAAAATATTGATGATCCAATGACCAGTCTCTCTGAGTTATTGAAAATAACTGAAAGTTTTCGTTTGAACAGTACATTAATAGTGCTTTCAAAAAGTAACATTATATATAATTTTAACTTGATAACCCAGCATTATTAATGTTCTGAATATGTTAGAATACCAAACTTTTCTGTATTTATTTTGGAGTATTACATTTTCAGCTAGGAAACATATTTCTAATAGCATTGCATATATTCATCTAGTAAAAGCCATTCATCTAAAATAAGGCCACCATTTGTGATGAAATGGTACTAAATGTTGTTATAACTAAGATTCTTAATAGTATTAGTTTCCTATGCTCTGTATTGTAAATGAATACAATACCTGTTTGATGTTTTCTTTATTTTTCTAAACAGACTTCAAGCTAATTTTATCATTTAGTATCTCCTGGTAAGATATAATTAGCCTTTTTTTAAATGATGCACACTACATTTTTATCAGTTGAGATTAATTTTATTTTGATAATAAAAAAATATTTTTAAATACAGTATAATATTGTGTAAATAAATTTACAGTGAAAAACAAGTTTTTATTCTGCAGAATGGTATTATTATCATATAGGATGAGAGGTAGAAGATCTGATACTTATGCAGTAGAATTCATGTTTAGAAAAAGGATTTGGGTTTATGTTCATAATTAGAAATTGAGTCATTTACAGTATGCCTTAACAGGATTATAAAAGCATTAAAAATTTACTTAGAAACAGAAAATTATAAGCAGTTAACATAAATAATTGAAAATGAAGTTTAAATTAAGTTATGTTCATGGGAACTTAAACAAGGAACAATTTAGAGGAATATTTACTAGAATTTAACTAACACCTTTTGTCACATACATTGTTAAGCAGATTGAAAATTTATCTTAATTTTAAGAGTTTAATTTTTTCAAACAAATATATCTGATTGTAACAAAAGTTTTATGGCTAAAAACATCCTTAATAAAGTTAAAAAGAGAACATGAAAGCAGTACCTTTAGTGTTGGTAGTAGTCACCACCCAAATTTATGAATTTCTATCAATGTTTTGGTAGTTTTTCAAAGTTCTTGACCAAAAACCTTAGTGGCTACAAGTGCAAATACAGATCAGCCTCATTTTGGATGTTCTGTGCAGAATGGAAGATAGCATCTGCAAGATGTAGCTGCAGATGTGAAAAAAATGGTAGAAGTCTGAAGGAGCTATGTCGGTGCTATATGGTGCGTCTGACAAAAGATCACATTCGAGTCCATACAGAGTTCAGCCGGCAAATGCAGAAACCTTTATGGTCTTGCCTTTATCTTGATGGAACATTACCTTTTTGTGCCGGAACTCAGTTCAATATTTTTCCTTGATAGCAGCATCAACACGGACTAGCATTTTACTGTTCACCTTGCTATCGAGGTTTTACCTTTTTCCAGATGCACTTTGTGAATAATAAATACCATGTTAATCCTGCACGATATAAAGCATGATCTTTTTGTTAGTCAAATTGTGCTTTGCGATGCTGCCAATGTGCTCACCAGGTACAGCCCAACCCCCTTTACGGCCTGTGCTGTTGAATTAAAATCCAGTTTTCATCACAAGTGGCAACATATCTGTCCTTATCTGCTAATAAATAATTAATATCAGTCAATTATTTGTCATTCAGCGATTAAATTTTTATGTCAAGTATATGCAATGCATAGTGCGACTAATGGACATGGGTTTAATGTCTAACTCTTTAGCAAGCTCTGGAGTGGTTGCATACTGATCTTATTCCATAAGTTCTAGCAACTGGGCCTCATCAACATCAGTAGACCTGCTAGAGCACTCTGCATCTTGAATGTCATAGTCCTTCTTTTTGAACTTTTGGTACCAAATGTTCACAGTGTCATATGATACGATATTGATACCTAAAGCTTTTGACTGATAGCATCATAGTTCCATTTCAAACACCTTGTACTTAATGCTAATGCTTTTTTTTTTTTTTCCAAATTTCACTGCACAGTGTTCTAAACTCTCCTTTTTTCAAATGGGAAAAACATTTGACAAAATATGATTAAACATGCCAACATGAACTGTTTGCACTGATGTTGTCTGCAGTGGCAGGAAACTTTCGTTAAAACGTAATATTTGTATCCATTTGAAAACTAACTCTTCAAATAAAATTAGTAAGTTACGGATATCTCTGTTTAAAGTGTGCGAGTCTTTTTTATTTATTTGTTCTAGTAAATTTAATTGCTATAGTATAAAACATTGCTTGTGTTCTTTGGTAACTATAATTCTTATCACAAGTTTAATTATGTCCATTCTTAATAAGACTTAATTTTTTTCAATGTTTTCAGGGTTAAACTGCCTTAGCATCAAGCTGATTGGGGAGGGGGGAACAAGAAAACACTGCCTCTAGCATTTTACTGTAATAAAGTCAATCACTTTGTAATTGTCTATATTTATAGCTATTTTGCAACAAATATTATTAACTCATTAATGCAATAGCAGAGAGTGTATATTACATTAATAGTATAAATTATTCATCATATATATGTTACTGTGAAAGACAGAAATTGGAGAATGTCGATTTTGACCGGAGAATATCAACATTCACCAAATACGTCGGTGAAAGACCGAATATTTCACTACATTCTTATATATTTGGACCCACCGGTGTATGTCGACATCAAATTGTTGGGAAAGTTGAAAAGAGGGTCATAAAAGTCCATAATGTTAAGTTGTTGCACTAAATAAGTTGAATCAATAATTTGAAGTTTTTTATTACTGTATTTATTTTCTCATTTAGAACGTACTGTATAATTAAGTTTTTAACTTCTATTATTTCCTTTCTCATTTGAAGTATTGTGTGTTTACTTATCATGTTCTTAAGTTCTTTCAAGTCTCAGTGCGTTATTGTAACTGAATACGGAGAAGAAAAATATTGTATCTGTTCAATTCACCATTAGTACATGGTGAATGTCGACATTGACTTCTGTAAGTCAGAAATAAGAGTACTTGGAAAATATTTTGGACATACACCAAGAGACTATGTGAATGTTGACATTCTCCTGATTTCGGTGTTTCACCGTGACATATATGTTACAATATTGTGATAATTCATTTCACCTTCCCTAACTGTATATTATCATATGTATCAAAAATAAACCCTGGTGGCAATTATTAAAATTTAAGTAGTTTATAGCTTTTAGTTATCTGCATACTTCTTACTCTTTATTACTGATTTGTATACTTGAAAATTGTTTTGATTATTTCGCTAAAATTGTAGCACTTTATTATGTTTTGAAGATATATTTTATTCTGTATAACGCAAATGACAGTTTTGTTTTTTGAAAATAGAAACATTTCATCACATATTGAGTGGCAGCAATCTTCTGTTTGCATTAACATGATAAGCTCTTTGGTGTAATAAATAATCTTTGGTGTAAGCTAATAAACTGCACTATTATATTGTTTTCAACTAGGAACCATATTGGAGTTTTGTGATTAGAAGACTCAAATTATTAGTTTAAAATTATTTTTTATTAAATGCCTGTTGATTTTGTAAACAGCAGCTTTTGGAGCAAGGAGGTTATTTTTGACATTTCTTTTCAGTAATTTGTATATACTTTTTACAGGTTCAAATATTAGAAGGTGGCCTATCACTGCATGGGAGGTTAGCACCTCCTGAAGTGATACCTTTGCACCGCCGTCTTGTTGACCGTTTTTCTGTGATGAAGCAATCTATAAGAGAGGTTGACTCTCCTAACTTAACATCCCGATTTCCTATCAACAGGCGTGGTGATTTGCCTCCCCCTCCTTGCAATGAAAATGTAGAATACAGACGACCATCAATTTTAAAGTATGCTAGTTTTTTAATCATGTAGTTAATTTATTTGAATCTGAAATTTTTATTATATTCAATTATATTGTTCAAATTTCATTTTGTATAATATAATTGTTAAGAGCATGTTATTTCCATGGATAAAATAATGCATTTGTATGTGGAAAGGTAATCCATAAGATGCTATGAAAATATATGAGACATGTATCATTGGAAAGTGACATCTAATTTACTTACCAAAGAAGATCTTAATCTGTACATTGCCTAAAATAAAACAAGCAAAATTTAGTAAAGAAGTACATGGCTATTGAAGATGGGATTTTATTTATTTATCACCAGCTCTAATTAAATTAAAAATTTTAATTTATTTTGTAGCTTATTATGCATTTTTAAACAAGTAGTAGAAATTTGTTTACTTATATTTTGTATGCTTGTGGGTGTATGTCTGTATCACTATATGCAATATACAATAAATGTTTATTTAAAAATAACAAGGAACTATAATATCCTGAAGTACATTAAAAATTGTTACAGACAAGTATTACTAACAGGTTGAGTATAATAAATAAATAAGAGATATCATAATGTATTTATTAATGCATAGAAGTCAAATATTTAGAAAAGAAATGAAAGATTCATACATGAACAATTTAAAATATGGAAACGTGATGTGAAGATGTGTCTCGCAGCTCAGAAATATCCTTAAATAACCACTATCTAAAGCTAAAAAATTTATAGCTATAAGCTATAAATGTGTGAATAATTAAAAAAAGATATAATAATCAGTAAATTTATGACATTATAAAGCCACACATGCATACAAAGTATCTAAACAAAAATTCTGATGTGGACAGCCTATGACCTTCCACCAGTCCCATGAAATAGCAATGGATTTTAAAAAACTAGTATTTTCCATTGATTATTTGTAAATGAAGCCAAATTTGTTTTTAAATTTTATGCCTCAATCTTAATTATAAACACTACTTATTTTTTATTATTCTTTTCTCCCGTGCAATGGATATTGATAACTATATGTGCTTGTATATGTATCCATTCTCATGCTTTACTTTGAAAATATCACATCCATTGTAGTATATAGTCTGCTCATAAGGTTCACAAATCTGTGACTTAACAATCACAAAATTTTTAAAAACAGCATACCTTTAGAGTTTTTGATTGAATGTTAAATATTGCCATTCATTTTTTGTCACTTTTTTCTCAGTTTATGTTATCAAGGTTCAGTTTCCTTAATAGACCAACTTTTTTATTTATCATTTTAGCTTTATTTATTAAACTTTTATTTCTTCGCGGTTACATAAAATTCAACAGCAAAATCTTTAAAATCAGCATATCTTAAGAATTCCCAATAGAATGTTAATTGTTGCTATACATTTTTATATTAGCTATATTATTTATATTTGCTATATTATTTCTTTAAAAATTACATAAAGCAATAACATTTGGTGGGAGCATTAGCCAAAATATAATGTGTTCTTCCATTGATGTAAAAGTCTTATATACTGAAATTGAAAAATTTCAGTTAAATTTTGGATTGTATTTCAGTATATTTTTTCATTAAAAAGTGTTATGGGCTTCAGTTGCCCAGGTTTGCCCAAAAGATAATAAATTCTTTATATGAATGTAGAAAGTTGAAGTACAAAAAAACAGAAATTTTAAAGATTCCTATAAGACATGGTTATTTTGGACAGAAAAAAAATCACACACATACAAACTTTATTGTAATCATTATAAAAACACATTGTAGACAACTAATTCATGCTTATTTATTGAAACTTACTATCAAATTTTCATACTGAAAATATTACCTCCCTCACTTACATATATGGGTTGGTAAGAGGTAATAAATAAATCTGCAAGAATGCAAAGATTGTGCAAAAACAAAAGTTATAACTATTAATCAGTATAGACTATGCGAAATTGTTAACATGGAAACTAACTATAGGAATAGCAACCCTAACAATATATACATATTTATGAAAAAAATGTATATTTCATTGAATTCAAAATAAATACAAAATGGGGAAAAGTACAGAAATTCACAAGTATGTGTAATTATTCCAATTAGCTCCTGTATAGTGATTCATTTCTAGGTGGAGTTGGCAGAATTGTACCAGTAGTATCTCTTAATGTCAGAAGTAGATAAATCAAATAACTGTCATGAAAGGAAAGCCCAAACCTTCAAATTAACATCCACCCTATAAACTTTCTTTTCACAATAAGAATTTTCACTTCAGAGCTTAGATAGAAGTAAAATGCACATTCATCTTGTAATTCTCCAAACAAAATATTTTAGCATGGATGATGCTTTTGTTTTATCAGAATTTATTAATGACTGATTTAGCTGTTGCCAAACTTCACAATGTGTATTGATTCATGTAAAAAATAAGAAAAAAGCAACTGAAAATATCAAAGGAAAAGTAACTCGGCTATATTCTTTTTTTCCCATTATGTAATGATTATGTTTAGCTACTCCTGAGGTGAAATAAATATATTACCACATTTAATGCACAATTACAACTGGTGCCACCCCAATTGCCTTTTACTTGTTCATTACACATTTGTCAAGAATGATCAAACGTTATTGAGCATTTTATTCATTACCAAGAATGCACTACAATATTATACTCCTGAAGAAGGAAAGCACATAATCAAACATTATACAGGATTCAAATTTGTACCCTAGAATTAGAACTAGTTGTCAAATTCCATTAATCACAATACCATAAAATGCAATGTGTTAATTATTGTTAATCTGCCCCATTAGGAATTTTAAAATCAACAGAATTGTGTTATAATTAAATCAGAAACTTGTGCTTTCATCTTTAGAAATTATGTGACTTTTATAATTAGTCTTATATAATTTTTGCTTTCATCTTTAGAATTTATGTGACTTTTGTAATTAGATTTATGTTTATTCCCTTCTCTATTTCTTCTGGATTTTTTTTAATTCATTAAAAAATAAAAGTATGTATTCATACAGCTAGACAAGTAGTGTTCTGGATATAAGATATAATTTGAGAACACAGATACTCTATTTCCATTTTCTTCATCTTTCATAAAATTGGATTAGTAACAACTTTTACAGTTATTGCAGATATCCTGTTTTAACTCTTCATGCACTTTTGAATAGCTTAAATTTTTGCTGATGCATATCTGAAATAAAAGGCATCGCATTATGATTTTTTTTTATTAGTGAAATTTCATAAATGTTCTTTTGTTTGCCTCAGATATGAGTAGATTTTCTTACTAATCTGGATAAATTGGTCAAAATTGATGGGAAATTTCAGAATTTAGCCAGTTGGAGATGTACAAATTTTCACAAATCCTACCATTTTTCTTTTATTTCCCAATCAGTTTTGAAAGAAACTCTTTCAGTATAGTATATAAACTTTTTCTGTATCTGTAGGATTGTTCATTACATTAAATTTGACCAAAATGTATTTGTGTAACTTTTATTACATTTAAATTTCAATAATAGAAAGAAATTTTCCTGTTTCAATAGTAAGAATAATAGCAACTCTGTTTAGCAAATTCATTATTGCTAATAATAATCTCTTTTCTGTAATCTGTCATATCAATATCATTCCTACTATTTGTAGACAGAAAATTATATATAGCAAATTATTTAAAAAGTAGCTTTTTAAGTTTTTCTATTATACTCTTATTAAGTATGTCTTAACAACTGAAAATAACATGGTACTCTGTGGTCCCCTTCCCCTTTTTTTTTTTTTTTTTTTTTTGCTACATCTCATCAAAAGTGATTATCTTAAGAAATGTTTCATAAATGAAAACATTTGCACCTTTTCTGGTTAAATAAATAAAAAGAAAATGATAATATAACATTATGATATGAAATGATGTATTTCTAACTACATAATGGAATAAATTCCACATATCTGTCATAAGAGCAGAAGGCATGTCTGTTCAGGAAATGTGTGAGTTCACAACTTGGGCGTGCAGAGTCATAGGTTAAAGAACACCTTGTTTGAAAGCTGAGCTTTTTTTATTTTAAATTCAAACAAAAATATCGGATGATGCAGGTGCAGCTATTATTGTAAAATATATTAAGTGCTTTTTGTAAGTAAAGTTCACTAGTCCACAATTGATTTTAGATTAGCTAAAATGGTTACTTTGTTATGTGTGGGTTGTGAATATGTTAAATGCCTTATAATAGAAAGGCATTTAACATATTCACTGTTTTACTTTTCTACTTTTCACTTCATTTGAATTTGGGAGTGCTATGAATGAAGAATGTAAGAATTGTTTATTTTCAGGGATTAATAAAATTGTATTCCTCTAGGTAATCTATACATATAGAGACCAAACACTGTGCAGATAATAGACCTTCTCAATTTCTAAGACCTAATAGACTTTCTAAATTTTATTTACATTTTAATTTATGCATTAAATTTGGATTATTCACACATAAATATTTCATACAAAACATATTTACATACCTTAACCCTTTGTGGCGCACTATACGTTAACATCGGAATTTCAACAAAAAAAGTTGTATGCAGTCTATTTAGTCCTAAAGGAGTATACAAGTAAAATTTTGTAAAAATTGCACTTACCGTTTTAATTCTGTGGGTGTTCCATGAGGTGGAACACTGCGCCGCCAGAGCTTTTAAAAATGCGACTAGGCAAGCATTGCAGTGAAGCACGAAAATGAGTAGAAGCATTTGTATAAGAATGAAAAAACTCTGTATTATGGCTGTATACATGGTTTCCTGGATATACACAATAAATATTACAAATATTAACAATAAAGAAAAATAAGCCCATAATATATACATACACGAAAAATATCTACACAATTATTGAAAATAAACGGGAATGAGACTAAAAAGCGACAGCAAAATATTCGCGCAGGTCTAAGTAAAGATGAGTCAAGCTACTAATAAAATTTCCACCTAAAAACTACTCCCAGAAAATTCGAGATGCCAATATTAAGGCTTTCATAACACAAAACACACCTCACCCCTCAATAATGCTTTGTTTGAATTCATCCCTCCAAAAAAGAAAACAACAGAAACAGAAAACGTAAACAACGGATGTTCTTTCCTAAGCACAGATGTTCTGATTCGTAACAGCATGAGATCGCTAAAGGCGCAGTGTTCCCGCTAATGGAACACCCGAGTTTATTCAATGATTCTGCATATGGTTTTGTATGAAAGATTAAAAAAAAATATAGAACAAATAATTTGGAGTACAGCCAGCAAAATTATGCCTAATTTGTTTCCCAAATAAAATTTTTTATATCATTAAAAAAATAGAGAAAATTACTTGAAAAAAGCGGATTTTAATAACACATAATAAATGAAAATTCTGTGTCTCCTTGTTATATGCTGCTATCTACTGTTTAAAAAGAAAAGTTCAAAGTATGTTATAAAGGCATTTTTTATATATTTACGGTTGAATTTAAAGGTTTCAGAAGCGATTCAATTTGGGTGTTCCATGTAGTGGAACACTGAGCCGCAAAGGGTTAAGAATTATAATAAAAGCCCAACTATGCAACATTAAACTAACTGGAAAGCTCAAGTAAGAGGAATATTGTAATATTTTAGACAACAATTTTTCCTTAAAAATGTTAGTGAAGGAGAGATTTTAGCACATGTATACTATTAACACAAATACATTGTTCCTAAACAGTGTGATTTAGTACCAGTTATAGATAAGCATGATGTCACCCTACAATTTTTTCATGTTCATTTTGGCTTAATGCAAATTTAATTATTTTTGATAAGCCAGTTTAATTTTTGTAAAGAAGGGTATAAGTTCTATTTTTACCTTTGCATTTAAAAAAAATTATTGATGTTTTGGATTGCATGGAATAGAATATTTTCAAAGTTACAGAATCTAGGCATAAAAAAAAAAAGCCATAATATACGACTTTAAAAACAAATAACAATGGTGATGTAACGTGAAAAATTTTGAAAAGTTTTTTGAAGTTTTTATATACTATATCTGTTATTTGTATCTGTGTTTGTGTTTTATTATGTATTGTTATCTAACTAAAAATGCATCAAAATAAATGTAAAGATATTATATATCTACCAGAAAAATAATGAGAATATGAAGTAGGATAATAAGAAAAAGATTATTACTCTCATATATTTCAAAGTAGTTTTTTTTTTTTTTTTTTTTTTTTTGTTATTATTTTAGTACTCCTTTACCTCCTTTGCCGTGTGACTCCAAGAAGCCTGTTATGGAACCATGTGGCAGCAATCGATCTTCATCGTCTGGTTCTAGTATTTATGGTCACTTCTTCCCTGAAGGTTCTGATGAAGAAGAAATTTACACTCATCCAAATGACAAGAATACTGAAGTACCCACTAACATTCCAATATCTCCACTTTCTGCTGTATTACAACCTCCACCTCTACCTAACAGGCCTCGATCTGTAGCATTAACTTCATCTTCAGAATCCAAGGTTTATTTTTTTATATAATTGCTTATTATCTTATTCAAACTTTGTTGATTCAGGGAACCTCTAATGCTACAATTTTCTTTTTTGGAACTCATGAAACTTTTTTTTTTGGGGGGGGGGTGGAATCTCTAAATCCTTATTTTTAGTAGAACCCCTAAAACTGTCATTTTCTTTTGTGGAACATTTAAAACCTTAATTTTTTTTTTTATTGGAACCCTTGCCATCCTCAGAGAAGTAAATATTAGAAAAGTATTGATGCTACGATTACCTTATATAGAAAATAAGAAAATCATTATTTCATTACAGTTTTAGACATAAAAATATTTACTTCACAGTTTTACTCATAAAAATAATTAACTTCACATTATTTTGGATAGCAATAGCTAATTTCTTTTCTTTTCTCCACTGGCCAGGACAATTGGTCCACTTAAGGAAAGCTGAACAATAGCTAATTACATAAAAATATTGTTTGATTATTTTAGATGTTTATAATTTCTCATGATATTAAAAATTGATTTTGACTTCATAAACATGTACAGGAGCTGTTTAAAACATCTATCTCCTGTGCAAAACAATTTAAAGATTAGTGATATGAAGTGATATAATTGTTTAATATAATATTTCTGATTTGTATGTATTAATGCAATGTATTGTAATATATTACTTATATTAAATGACCTTTCAAAACTTAATATTGTATTATCCTTATCTTCCAGGTTAGAAACTAGTATGCTTGTTTGTTTTTTAATATGTTTGTTACAGTAAACTGTTTCTTAAATTAAAATATTTGTTTATAAGCTTTAAAAAATCTATTTGCATGATTTTTTAATGCAAGAACATGTTTTAATATAGGCTCTTAATAGTTAATAGAATCTTAGTTTTATATTATTGCATGTTGTGATAATGGGTTTATTTTGCTTTGAAAACTTCTAATATTCATTCTTTTATGTACCAGATCTCTAATGACAGACTTCGGCCACAAACTTCACCTCCGAGGGATACTGGAGAAGATTATTCTCACCCCCGTGGCTATCCTTTTAATAGACTTGTGAGCCCAAATATACCTGTGAAATGGTTGCAAACTCCAGATGGTATTTCTGATAAAATACTGTCATCTCTTAGTCCGGGCAACAGTCCAAAGGGGTCTGCTCGAAATAGCTGGTCGGAGCAAAGTTTATTACAAGACGAGGCACCTCCATTACCTCCCAGAGGTAAATCCCTGCCTTACTTGTTAGTTTATAATTTGTCTTTATTGCAGTTTGTTACAATATTTTTTCATTAGTTAAATAGCTATTAGTAATATAAAATAAATGTTTAAAAGAATTTTGATTATTTATTGCTTTTCTAAAAAATAGCTTTTATTTGCATTTAATTGCCTCAGAGAGTAGTTATAAATTTAATGTATCTGAAATGTTGCTAAGTGTTATGAAATGTTCCTTGAAATATTTTGCTATTTTTATAATTGTTTTCAATTAGACCATTGAATATTGCTGTGTTGAACTTCAGGGCATCATTCATATATTTCCCCTGTAGATATACTGAAAAAAGTGTGATAAAATATTTTTAAAAAGGGCAAAAAACTTTTAGAATGTCACGAATATGTAAATATTAGTCTTTATAACTTGCTATGAAATGTGAGCTTCCTTGTGTTATTATTTTTATCAGCTTTTCTCTCTTCAATTTGGAAAGTAATATTTTAAATAATAAGTATGAACAAATGTTTCAAAACAGATCATTATTTTATAAACTGAAATCATTATACTTAAATTCACTTTTGACTAATATTTATCAAATGTATTTATTGATATTAATTACTTGTGCTGCTAAAAATTGATGTAAATTTTAAAATGCATGTTTCCGATTGTTAAATATTAAAAAGCATGTTGTTCCAAATTGCTGCATTTGAAGAAGCAAACTGCTTTATATTATGTGTGAAGTTGGAAATACATTTTGCAATAAAATTAAGTGAAAAATATAGCATATGTGCATATATAGAACACTGCTGTGCAAACTAGGGGTCGCGACCCCTGTGGGTGTCGCCAGAAGTATTTTGGGGGTCGCCAAATTTTTATGAAATGCATTATGCCTGCATGCTGCATACCCATACACTGTACATATAAAGAGTGAAACGCCGTCACTCACTGTTTAATTGCAACTTCATGTTGTCCGCTCTTTCTTTGACCGTAATGCGTAATGTATGTAAAGTGTGAAGACGCAAGTTTTTCACTCCGGTAGATAGCGCCCTCTTTGCGATAATTCGCCAGTTTTGCTGAAAAGCGCCTATTTGACTAGATGTTAACCGCAGGGAAAGGGGAAAAATTCGCTTCCGTGATCAGCCAATCAGATGGGAAGGTACGCGGTTTATCTGATAGCCAGAGTGAAGACGTGAAGTGTGTGCATGAAGTTGTAGCATGCAGCCAGTTGGCCTGCAGTTGTTTTAGTTTATCCTCGAGTTTTATCATGTGACGTTGTGTAATTATGATTTTTTATATTTTTATCGGGCTTTGCTACTTTTTGTTATCAGGTATGTACTATCATTAGAGAAAGATCTCTGTTAATTTTATTGAATTTCTCGAAAATGATAAAATTTTATATATTATTTGTTATAATTTAACCCCTATCTTCATAATGAATAAATGGGTAATACGTACACCAGGTACATCTTCAGCTAACAAACGAACAAATACTGATGAGGAGTTCGCAAAATACTGAACTAAATGCCCGATCTAAAAAAATAAGAAAATACAATGAGGAATTTATTTAAGTATGGTTTTACATTTTGTGTTGTTGATGATGAAGAACGCCCGACGATATGTGTCATTTGCAACGAAAAATTAGCAAATGAGAGCATGAAACCAGCTAAATTAAAAAGGCACCTGGAAACTAAACATAAAGAACTTCAAAATAAACATGCCGATTTTTTTCAAAGACGAGCTTGAAAATCTGAAAATTCAAAGTGCACATTTAAAGAAAGTTTACAACAATACCTCAGAAAGCATTACAAGCTTCTTTAGAAGTTTCTTATCTAATAGGAAAAACAATGAAACCCCATACCATTGGAGAATCCCTTATCCTTCCTGCAGCAACTAAGATGACATCAATTATGCATGGCGATAAATATGGAAATGAACTAAAAACAATACCATTATCAAGAGATACCGTGTGTCTCGGCGGATTTCCGAAATGTCACGAAATATCGAGTTTAGAAGTCATAAAACGCATACAAAATTCATCCTGTATTTGCTTTACAACTGGACGAGACTACCGATATTACTAAAATGTCACAACTAATTATTTACGTTAGGTTTATTTTTAATGAAGATATAACAGAAACGTTTTTATGTTGCAAAAGTTTGGAAGGAAAAACAACTGGATAAAAAATATTCGAAGTAATAAATGAATATTTTGAAACAAAGTCCCTTACCTGGGCAAACTGAGTTGCGGTTTCTGCAGCATTAACAGGTTCGAATAAAGGGCTCAGAGGCTTAATTCAGAAGGTGGCGCCTCATGCGGTATTTAATCACTATATGATTCATCGGCAAGCTCTTGTTTCAAAAGATATGGATGAAGAGTTGCACAACATATTATATGACGCTGTTAGTTGAATTAACTACATTAAATGCAACAGCCACAACAGCCGTCTCTTTTCAATACTTTGCAATGAGATGGTCTCAACGTATGAGAGATTACTGTTACACACCGAAGTCAGATGGCTTTCACATGGGAAAGTACTATGATGGATATTTGATTTGAGAAACGAAGTGTACATGTTTTTAATCGAAAAGAAACGTAGATTGGCAAGTTATTATATCAATGAAGTTTGACTAGGGAAGCTGAGCTATTTAGCTGATATTTTTGAAAAACTTAACGACTTAAATTTGAGCTTGCAGGGTGAGAATTCAAATATCATAACTTCAGCCAGTAAAATTCAAGCTTTTAAGAATAAGCTTAGTCTCTGGCAAACTGAACTGAATAAAAACAACACCGACATGTTCCCTTGCTTTAACGATTTTATTGAAAAAAATAATATAGATATATTTACATTTGAAAACATCATTTGCAATCACATTGAAAAGTTGAAAATTTTTCGAGAAGATTCGAGGATTTTCCTGAAAAAGATCTTGGTTGGATTCGTGATCCATTTTCCTTTGACATATGCAGTCCAGCTCTTCAAATTAGTGAGAAAGAGCAATGATAGATCTAATTAGTGATTATACTCTTCGAAATCAATTTAAGACTCAGCCTTGCCAAAACATTTTGGCTATCCGTGGAAAAACAATATCCCGTTTTATGCAAGAATGCCATCAGAGTGTTAATACAACTTGCATCAACGTATTTATGTGAAACTGGATTTAGCAAACTAGTTTCAATAAAAACTAAATACCACTCACGTTTAAACCCTGAAGATGATATGCGAATTGCAATTAGCAACATACAACCAAACATCGATGAGATAATTAGAAACTTGCAGCCACATACATCTCATTAAAGGGCAATTTACTGATTTTTGTGTTATACAAAAAGTATTTTCTTAAAATTATAAATAAAACTAATATGAGTCAGATATGATGATGTTTTTATTCGATGAAACGAAAGAAACGTGCGAAATATACATCTTATTTGTGAACATTTATCTCTAGGGGTCGCCAAAACTTTTCTCTCTACGAAAGGGGTCGCAGTCGAAAAAAGTTTGCGCACCATTGGTATAGAATATAGATGGTATAGGTATATGTGAGAATACAAACAGAACCATGCATCACAATTGTGTATTTTTTTTATAAGAAGATATTAGATAATCATGTATACATTTTCACGTCTGTAGAAACTGATGAAGTCAGTATGAAGTTTTAAACTCTCAGATTTTATTAAAGTTATCTTGAAAATTTTTAACCATTAGATTACCATAGATTTCTTTATTTTATTATCTTCAATATCTGTTAAACATGACGTGGGGAAAATTATTTAATAGAAACATCACTAGACTATATTTATAAAGTTGACATAAAGAATGCAACTATACAATTTAAATTTAGTAAAATTACTTCTTTTCATAATTGCCTCAGGTTTAATGAATTTAAACTGGATTAAAAGATAAATTCATTAATGCAGAGCTATTATAAAATTTTCAAGTAGACTTTTGTGTATCATCTTTGTATATTAATTATGTCATTATTTATATCAATTATAAAGCTTATAAATTGCTTTTTAACATATGGCTATTATACATTACCATATGGCATGTTATTTAATTCTGTTTGGTCTTTGAAAATTGCTGCAATCTCAGTTTTTGCTATTACTTTTATTAAGGTCAGATTATTTCTGTTAATTTCTTAAATCAGAATTTTTTAATTATATTAATGGAAAGTATTTTTAATTCAAAAGGTAATGAGAAAAGAATGGTATCATCATGGACTGGAGCACCTCAAAATGAGGAGTCAAAACCAGCTCTTCCACGAAGATTAATAAAAAAGGCAGGTATTTTTTACTTATTTTTCTTCATGTGCATACATAAAAATTGTACCTCAGACATTTCAAATAAAAATTTATAGATGTGTTAGTTGAATGAAACAGTCCTTAAATTTTCAGATTAAAATATTTGATTTGAAATATGCATTTTTATATTATCATAGAGTGGCATTTCGCCGCTTCTGTGAAGGCAGACACAGTGGATATCCTCTAAACTCTGCTCGAAAACCAGAGGCTAGATCTCAAAGCTCTATCCAATGCCTTGGAACTGTGCTTTGGCAAGAAGTGTTTAAAACACAATAGCAGGCTTCAGCTAAATTCTTGCCAACAAATACTCCAGGAGCTTGCCATGGATGTTGAAAGGCTGTACCATCTTGCTTTTTTTGGACTCTCCTTCAGAAACAAAAGAAATTCTGTCCCTGCAGTATTTCATCGATGACATCCTGAGGTACAGAAAGCCTTATGAATAAAGGATGTCAAGTATTTAAAAAAACTCTTTAGTATGTATCGTATTCAGAAACTAAGTACAGTTTCATTCTGGCGCCATTGCAGCGCTGTGGTAGGCGTCCCGCGCATGCGCACTAGTCTTTCTTGTTCACTGACTTTCAATTGTCGCCATTTTGGTTGCTCCATGTTGTGCTTTCAGTTTGCTGTGCACATTCAAAATGTTTAAGACAATTAGTTCTCCCGCTGACTGAGATTTGTGCCGTGATTAAATTTTTGAACGCGAGGAATGTTAAACCGGCCAAAATTTATCATCAAGTGACAGAAGTTTATGGTGAATATGCAATAAGTGATGGAATGGTGAGAAAGTGGGTAAGAATGTTTAATGCAGGTTGAACAAATGTCCACGCCGAGGCTCGGAGTGGTCGGCCTTCTGTTGTCACCGATGATTTGGTAAGGAAAGTTGATGAAGCAATTCATGAGAACAGGTGCTTCACAATGACAACTCTTTCAGAGGCATTTCCACAAATTTCACGTACTGTTTTGTTCGAAATTGTGTCTGACCACTTGAATTATCGCAAACTGTGTTCCCGATGGGTTCCAAAAATGCTCACTGATGTTCACAAAACAAAGCGACTTGGTAGTGCCCTGACATTTCTCACGCGGTACAGTGATGAGGGAGAAAACTTTTTAAACCAAATTGTGACAGGTGATGAAACTTGGGTGTGTCATTTCACACCAGAATCGATACAACAGTCGATGGAGTGGAGACACACTCATTCTCCGAAAAAACAAAAGTTCAAAGTGACAATATCATCACAAAAAATCATGTGCACTGTCTTCTGGGATAGGAAAGGCATTTTGCTTACTGAATTTCTTCCCAGAGGTGAAAGCATTAATGCGGCACGATATTGTAAGACTTTAACAAAACTAAGGCGGGCCATTCAAAACAAACGAAGAGGAATGCTCAGTAAAGGAATTGTGTTGCTCCATGACAATGCTCGGCCCCATACTGCTGGTGTCACTCAATCGTTAATTCGACAGTTTCATTGGGAGCAGTTCGATCACCCGCTGTACAGCCAGGACTTGGCGCCGTCTGACTATCACTTGTTCCTGCACATGAAGCGCGAGCTTGATGGCAAGCGCTTTGTAGCCGACGATGACACGAAAAATGCTGTGGAGTCGTGGTTATCAAAACTGGCGGGAAGTTTCTTTGACGATGGTATATAAAAACTGGTCACCCGCTATGACAAGTGTTTGATCATTGGCGGAAACTATGTTGAAAAATAGTTTAAGACATGTATTTTCATGTAAAAATAAAATTGGATTTAAAAAAATTGTTTTACTATTTTTTATTTTTTATTTTTTTTTTTTTCAAAACGGTATTTAATTTCCGAATACGCCTCGTATATGCCATGAAATATGAGCCAGCCCAGCAAAAAGTCAGCTACAGAATGACACCAAATCATGTGTACAGCTTTAGTACTAATGTTGTTTAGTATTAATGTACAGCTTTAGTACTCATGTGACATTCTGAAGATTTGGTACCAAAAGTTCAAAAACAAGGACTATGACATTGAAGAAGCAGAGCACTCTGGCCTACCCATTGATGTTGATGAGGCCGACTTGCAATGGAAGAAGATCAGTATGCAACCATTCAAGAGCTTGCTAAGGAGTTAGACATTAGTGCCTTTTCCATTAGTTGTGCTATGCATCGCACAAACTTGACATACAAGTTCATTTGTTGGGTGATATTTGAGCTAACTCCAGCAGATAAGGAGAGACATGTTTGGGATTCCACTAATTTCCTTGAATATCAGCACAAGGACAAAATTCAAGACCAGATCATCCCTTGCAATGAAAAGTGGATTTACTTCAACAACACAGGCTGAAAAGGGGATTGGTCTTCAAAAAGGTGTGGTCAGTGAGCCCTTCGGCGGCGTAGTACAGTTTGAGTTGTTACTCAATAGCATACTTTTTGTTACTCAATAGCATACTTTTTGTTACTCAATAGCAAAGTACAATTTGAGTAACAAAAAGATCATACTTTTTTTCTCGTGGGATAGCTGTGATATTATCTACAAAGAGTATTTGGAAAAAGGCAAAACCCTCGACAGTAAGGTGTGCAGTGAGATGCTAGTGTGTGCTAATGCTGTTGTCAAAGAAAAATGTTGAACTAAGATCCAGCGCAAAAAGGTATGTTCCTTCAAGATAATACAAGACCACATGTGTCTGTATTCATTGGCTGGACTATACAGATTCGAATGAGATCTTTTGCCACACCCACCATATAGCCTCAATATCGCTGTTTCAGACTTCTACCTTTTTTCATTCTCACAGCTACATCCTGCTGGTGCTATTTTCTATTCTGTGCAGAATATCCAAAATGAGGTTGATCTGTTTTTGAATTTGCGGACACCAAGTTTCTGGGTCGAAGGCTTTGAAAAACTACTAAAACGTTGCCAGAAAAGCATAGATTTTGGTATTGATTACAACATGCACTAAAGGTATTGCTTTCATTTTTTCCTCTAACTTTATTAAGAATGGTTTTTTGGTAGAAAACTTTTACCAGATAGGACCGACTCTAAGGTGCTGGAACTGTGGAGGTGATGGCCAAGTAAAACTTCAGAATACTGCAAGGCACATGAACTAAGGCCGCTCTCAGCAAATAAGAGAGAAACTAATTAATAGCCTTTTCGTGGGGTAGAGGATGCCAGATATTGAGAAGCCCTATTTTAAAGCACTTCAAATATCTATAAAGACTGGTAGCAGTAATGGACTCTTCGTCTTGAGACACATTCCTTGCAGTATGACTATCGATACAGGGGACAATGTTACAATCATTTGTAAAGATCTGGCTTAATGAATGGATGATAAATTCATCTGGACATTGCCATGTCTTACCCTTCAGCCTGGTGATAAAATTGACATCGATAGAAAGTTAAACATTAACTTTACATTTAGAAATGCAGCTTACCATCGCATGATTTATGTGGCAGATATTACAGAGCCTTGCATACCCAGATTGGGCTTTATAAGGAAATATGATTTTTCCTTGGACTTTAAAAATAATGAACTGTATAATGCCTCTGAGGGCATAACTCTGTTTGGAGTTAATGATGAAAGTGCTAAATCCGTCCATGAAATCATAACTTCAGATGATATCACAGTACCACTAAGAATATAATTTTTGTGACCTAAATCCATAGTTGAAAACAGAAATTTCTTGTGCAACATAATAGAAAATTATGAGAACTGTAACACCTCATGAGAAGTACTAGTAACCTGAGCAGTTGTCAACTTATATTGAAATGCAGCTGAGGGAAGCTGCAATGTTATAATATAGGAAGGATTGCTTTTGGAATGCATCACCTCAAACATCCTGGGTCCTCCGCTGATTGCAGAAAATAATCCTCATTGTCATATTTTTTTGCTCCCGATGAAGAGGGTTTAGTTTATTAGATTATGGCAAAGTACTCGAGGGTTATCTGCTTTAAGGGAGGGATGCCTTCATGGAGGACTTTTTAAGGGAAACTGGCTCGTATACACGTCACACATAGGGAAAACCACAAAAACACCCATGCAGCCAGCCCGTTCGCGGGATTCGGATCTCAGACCGAACTACCAGTGTTTAGTGACGTTATCGCTCGGCCGCTGGTGGGCCCCTGATGAAGAGGGACTTTGCTCTCAAAATTCATAGAGTTTCTATGCCTAGCACAGGTTGTTGCTTCACTTTAGTGATTTATTTGATGTGTTTCTCTTCTTTCTGGTGCTCAAGTTCAACAATGACACATATGTAATATTATTAACAAAACACTAAAATTGAGTTTTACTTTTTTAATGTACATCTAAATAAATTCATATTTATCTTTTTTAAAATTAATTACCTGTTCCTAAAATTTATTTCATTAAAAACAAGGTTATAGTTAATTCAGAAGTCAAACAACAAAAATCAGCGTTATACCTACAAAATTTTCACAGTAATTTTGTGTCATAGTGATTTTTGTTGTTTGACTTCTGAATTAGTATTTATTCAGCGTGTTATTGTGTCTTAATTAAGGTTATTGTTAATTTTGGTAAGCTGTAGTCATATATATATATATATATTATGGCATGATTCTCTGAATAGGATTTTATAGTGTGTGGAAGAATTAAGTTTGACATCTTTCTGCAGTTGTTTGTATAAAACCTTTAAGTTAAATAAAGTTTAAGAAATATCTGGATACCAAGAAATAAAACTAATAATCATATATTCAAATGTTCTTCTAAAATTTTTTATGCAATCTTTTGTTTTTTTATGTACTAAGCAAAATATTTGAAATTGTTATTCTTGTAAAATGTAGTTTTTTCCCACACTAGACCTTCATTTCTGCAATGACACCTCCACCAAAGGATATGCATGTGCCAATACTTTGTGATTCTCAAGAAATTACTTCTCCAATTTTAACACCGGTTGCTACAACTCCAAGTCCTATTTCAGAATCAGCTCTCCAACAGGAAGTGGACAGTGCTCCTCCTCCACTTCCAAATAAAAGAACCACTGTTGGCAGCAGTGGCAGCAGCAGCAATCCAGCATCACTTTCAGCCTCTCCTAACCAGTCTCCAGTTAGGACTCCAGAGTCATTAATCCGAAGTCATTCAATACCTATTGGAGTGATGCCTCTGATTCCACAAGAAAGTGGCTTAGATGAGGATGAGATTTTGAATGATCGAGATGATTCCAGTAGTGTGTAAATTTTAAGTGTCATTGCTTAATTTTTAGGATCCAGTGCTTTCTTACATGCTTGAAAAGTTTTGAAACCACTTTGCAGTGGAAATGAGTAATAAAGAAGCAGTGCTGATGATAATTTGGATTTCAGATAATTTGGATTCACCTCAAAGCACAATTAACTTATTGCTGAAATTTTGGTATACAAAGACAGTCCCAAATTCTGTAACTTGTATATTTGCAGGACTCTAGTCTATATTCTTTGTATGCAACTTCCTTATTCTTTTTTCACATGCAGCTGCTATATTTTCTGTTTAATCAAGAAATTTTGAATATTTAGTTACTATGTATTTTATAGCCTTCTGTGTATTTTTGAAGTTTGTCCTTTCAGAGTATAAAAGTAGGTTAGATTGCATATGAATTCCTTACAAATATTCAGATACCAGAGAAGGAAAGGTTTTTGTATTTTTCTATATTTTATATAAATTTTGCTGGTATTGACTTACTGTTAAGAAATGAGAGCTATAACATTCTTTTTTTTTTTTTTTTTTTTTTTTTTTTTTTTTTGAGTGGGATTCATTATACTGTTTCTTGTGCATCACTTAAAAATGCAGCAATTTTTTTCCCCAGTTTTGCAAAATCTCATAATAATGTTTTTCTTATAAATTTTTAAGAATTATCAAATTGTATGTGTTGCCTTTTTATTTCTATGCCATGCTTATCCTCTTAGAATTGAATGGTAGTACATATATGCTTATTGTATGCTGTATTCTTAAAATATATTAGCAAATAAATTTTTAACCTTAACTTCTGTTGAGGACAAACTTCATAATTGTCTGATGTATTTTAAATATCTCGATGAGCTTTGTGTATACTGAGGAAGAACATGTTTGAATATGCACTTGTTTTAAGTTTCTAGTCATACTTAATGACAGCTATTAAAAACTTCAATTAATCATGCATTAAATATAAATCTGCTGAAAATTTTCAGCAAGATAAAAAATTATGAACATTAAATTAATTCAAGATACTACTTCTTCATATGTGAATGGCCAGTTCATGTGGAAATTCATTATCTGAGAATTGTATTTGGTTTTAAATTTAATTTTTTAATAATTTGTTTGTATGATCTCAATTTTAATCAGAACTGTGTATGATCTTAAGTGTATATTCAATTCATCTCATAATGATATTATATGGAAGGTAAGCCAGATGATTTAAATACTTCTTTGGGAATATATTAATTTGTTTGTGTATAATATCACTACAAATAATGCGACCTTGATACACATAGTAAAATTTCTCCTTTTTGCTAATATACAAAAATCACTTGTAAGGAAATGATGGAAATTCATTCAAAATATTTTTTGTTATGTTATATAATTTTCGTTTGTTATTTAAAAATGAATGAATGTTATTTTTGTATATTTATTTATTTTTAAATCTTAAAAGAGTTTTTACACTTTATGGATACAGCAGATATTTGAATGTTAAGATTCTGAGGTCATATACTCTTATAGAACCTATATTTAATCTTTCAATGCAAAACATTCCTCTATTGATATATATATATTTTAAGCTGTTGTTTTTAAGTGTAAACTGTTGATTTTTATTCAGAATTACAGGGTTTCTTAATTTGTAATGATGAGATCTGATTTTCCGTCTGAAGTTTTAAATTACTGTATATATTGGTAAGAGTTTTAAATTACTATATATACAGTTTATAAATTACTGTATATATTGGTTCAGAATCATTTAATACCTCAGAATGCTTCCTTTATTCCTTATATCCTGAAAATGTGATCTAGTAATACTTCCCCCCCCCCAGGTAACTTTGCTAACAGAAGAATTACATTAACCCTCTGGGCGGCCAGGGTTTTCGCTAAGAAAGCACAAATTTTTCAAAACTACTATGAGATTTTTTTTTAAATTTTAATGTAAAAACTCTCCTGGTATTTCATACCTGGGTTTGTTTCTTTTGATATATTGCCTTAATTTCGTTGACATATTTTAATGTGCACGTATATATATATATATGTTCTTACATATATTGCAATAAATATTCTAGGCCGTATATATACGGCCTTGCCGCTTAGAGGGTTAAGATGTTTTTAAGTGTAAACTGTTGTTTTCTTTTCTTCCTTTTATAAAATTAAATGTATCTATATGTTCAGAAAACAATTGTTGTAGTTGGACCAATGTTTTATGTATTTTTTCTTCTTTCCACAATTAAATGTATCTGTATGTTGAGAAAACAATTATTGTAGTTGGAACAATGTTTTATGTATTTTTTTCTTCTTTTTCCCACTTTTTATGTTGTAATGCAAAATTTTATTTCTGTTAGAGTTACTTGCTTTTAAAGCATACGCGTATTCCTTTTATGCAAGAGAACGTGTGAAAAATTTCTAGTTTATTGATTAAAATTTAGATAGAAAAAAAATCATTTTGCTGTAATTTATCATTTCTTTAAAAATGCATGTTTGCTTTAGTAAAACATTTTAAAATGAACTTGAAGAATAAATATTTGAATAGTTTGTTATCACATATAATACATATGCTGTTATTTTTAATTGCATTATTCTATTATCTGCTGTTTGTTAATTTTATCAAAATTTTCAATCGTGTAATGGACTATAGGCATAGACATGACAATTTTTAAGTCTCGCAATAACTGTAACAATAACTGTAACAGTTCATTTCCTATATATATATTTTGTTATTTTGTGCATGTAAGTACTTGTTATATTAAATAGCAACTTGAAGATATAATTTCTTGTTGCTTTTATATTGTAGATTGTAAGTTCAAAGCTATAAGTGACTTATGCAAAGATTTAAGTGCCAAAGGTATAATTTAACTGCAAAATATGTTTGTTCTTTTGATTATTTCATAACTATTTCTTCTTCGGTTTTTGCATTTGGAAAAACATTATATGATATTATTCTGCATTACATCTAAGAGGAATTCTGAAATAACTACAGGGTTCTTAAATTTTACTTTTTCTTACTTTGTTTACATTTTAAAAAATTGTGATAAATGTTTCTATATGTTTATGTGTATGTGTCTAATGTATGTATATAATGTACCTTTTTTATGATTGCATGATTTAATGAAAAGTGAATGCAGGAATTTAATAAATTTTCATGCTTTGTGAAATTATATTTGAATTTTTTTTTTTTAATTTTTAAAATTCTAGTTTTTAAAGATTGGAGATAGAAGTAAAACTTATTGAATGTAACTTTTCTTACTATTTTTTTTACAAATTGTTAAGTTTAGATGATGATACCAAAAAATCATAGCAAAGAACAAGATATAATTTATATTATTTTAAAAATATTTTCTAAACATTATAATTAGAAAATATGGTTTTACATTATTAAAATAAAAGTGCAATGTTGCAAAAGTCTTATTTCTATAAGTTTTGTGATAATTTGAAATTTATTTATACAAATTTTGTTATAATTCATTTGATATATGTATATTTAATTAGGATGATCTGACCTAGGTAGGCACTTATTTTGGCAGTATGAGCTAAGCCTTTTTTTTAATGCCTTTATTACACCTTTCCTTTAAAAAGTAGTATAATCAAATATATATATACTTAATGTAATCTATAAACCAAATGTAATATAATTTATTATTAACAGATAGAATGCAATTATTAATCTGTTATATATGCATAACAGGTTATTAATTGTCTGTTTATTCATTGCCAGATAATTTGCATTATTTCTTTATTATTTAGCCTTCTGTATCTGTTTACTTTTCTTTACCATTACTGTAACAGAGTTAACTAACTTCTGTTCTTTTTATACTGCTCATGGTATAAAATAGATATAATTTTATCTGTTTTGATGCTAGAGAAGTATTTTTTGAAAATTTGTATTTCCTTTTTATGTGGATCATAATAACAACTTAAATTGTGTAAATATTAAACAATAATGGTAAATGAAGCATAATTTATCCTTTTAAGTACCAAAGAGAATAGCTTATTAAAGGAATGTCCTGAGAAAAAAAGTTGATAAATTTATGTACATTTTATACAAAATTTCTTTAGATTTTCATTTTATAATGTAAGTTCTTATATTGTATTTCAAATGATATTTTAAAGGGAAATGCACATAAATTTTTAGTTTTATTTGACAAAATCAAAAATTTTAGCCTCTGAGAGAATTCATGGAAGGGTTAGATGCATGTGTATTTATATCACTAATCAAAATGGTATTTAGACTATTCCAATTTTTGGATGTTTCTCATTAGTTTTAAATAAATAGAACAATAAAAAAGTAATTGTTTATTTAAAAAAATTAGAAGCCAGAAGGAAGAAAATTATAAATAAAGATTATGGTTAATAGAAATTAGTTTATGTAATATGTGTAAAAATAACCAGAAATGTTTCTTTTTAATAGAAGTAGATGATAATGCTAGTATTTATTAATATTTTGTTAGAGGAAAAACATTAAGGCAATAACACATTTACTATAACTTTAAATCCTTAGTTACACATTTTGCAAATTTTTTGGTTAGTTTTATGCAGTAAAATTTATTAGAACATATATTTCTACTACTCTATAACCCATTTGCAACATATAAAATTATTCTGATTTAAAAAAATAATAATATAGCTATTATTTCAGAGAATTATAGCATACAGTGTTGTTTTTTCATTTTTTAAAGAGAACATATTAGGTATTTTTAATAGTTTTTTTAAAGTAAAGGAATCAACTTTTCTATGTAATTAAAGTACATTTATTTTCCATAATGTACATCATATTTTCTCTGAGTGGAAGACGTGCTACCTGAATGGTGCTCAAGGCTTTTGCTATATGGCAGGCACAAAAATTGCACTCCTTGCCACGATAAAATTACGCATTAGTTTCTGATTATGTCAGACAAATGAAATACGACGACATCATCATCAGATTTTCTGTAAATACTATTGATTGAAATTTTTCTTGCAATTCTGAATACATAAAATTATTAATTTTTTTCCTGCAGATCACTTTATGCTGCATTATCTTTCCTTTAATTGTATTTTTGATTTTTAATGTTTATGTAAACAACTATACTAATTTCAAAATAATCTATTATGTTATAATCAACTTTTAGATGAAGATTTATTTTCTCTCTATTTATTAATAATCTCCTAATAATTAGAAACTAAAACTAATAACTAAAACTAAGCCATTAGAACACTTGGAAATAAAAGTAATATAGGACTTCATATTAGTAAGATTTTAATATTGAGCTATTTTAAGTAATTATAATACCAATCAAATGCATGTCTTTGTCATTAAAAATAAAATTTTAAAAATGTGTGATAAAAAAACAGAAAAAGTGTCTACGCAAATTTTCATTTAAAATTTATATAACTATATGATTAAGTAAGCGTATTTCAGCATTACTAAGTGAACTTTAGTAGTATAGAAGTATCTGAATATGAATAAAAGTGATTTATAGCATTTGTTAAATAGTACTTTTACTGCAGTGTCTATTGAAAGGGATCATTTTTGAAAAGTATGAGGTAAATACACATGCATCTGAACTCTACTGAGCAGTTAATGATATTCAGCTTCTAAACAATGTATTCTTTTCTAGCAAACAAAAGATTTGTAACCGAAATTAAGATTGTACAATGACTTTGTTTTGTTGTACATAATAAATTTGAACTTACGTGATTACGTGGAAACTGAAATGCAAAATTTAAAGAGAAAAGTACAGAAACTTGATTAGTTGGAGTTATTTTTTCCCCCTTATTTTAATCTATTGATTTACAATAATGTTTTCCTTTTGAATTTTAATTCTTTATTTCTGTTTCTTTATCTTTGTAATGCAAATATTTAATCTATGTTTTATATTAAAATATATACATATTTGTTACATGTTATATAATACTGTTTTTAAATATCTAACTTATTAACTTTAGAAATGTGGCAACTGGACAAACAGACTTTTTCTAGTTGTATAAGACATTGATTATTAAATTTGAGAACTGAAATTTTAACCATTTTATCATTGTAAGTGGTTTGGTGCTATCATTTAATTTTTTTTTTTAATATTACGTACATATTTAATCTCGGTGTAATCAACTGAATCAAGCTGGGCAGCTGTGTGATGACTATTCTTATTTTTTATTATATTATCAAATAAAAGCCAATTATTTATCTCTTAAATTATTAATAGGTAACTTTAGGTAGTTAAAATAAGCACTTTTCTTTTTAAAAGAACAATACTATAGATGGAAAATTAAGTACATCTTGTACTGATTTAAATGTGTAACTAGTTATGAAAGTTAATGCTTATTGCTTTCTCATATGTAATTTAATCAGTATTAAAAATTTCCAGAAGTTAAACAAAATGCAATGTGTGAATATTATGCTTGCTTCTCATAGAGAAATTTTGTCGTTTGTACTTAAGTGATGTGAGATTTAGTAAAAATATACAAAATGTAAAATAGTTTCTTTTATATGTTTTCATATGTTATTAAATGGAATTTTGTATTTGCTTACATATCAAGCAATCTTAAAAATGGCAAAAAGTTATGGCAAAGTTTATCTACAGAAATTATTTTGTAATATAGATTTAGAAACGCATCATGTAGAATGTGAAGTTTATGTTATTTTTTAGTCCTACTAGATCTGATTCTATTAAAAATAGAAAAGAAGTATATTTGTAATAGATTTGATACCTTTATAAATCTCTTCATGATCTTTGATGAATGATATCTAATAAATAAGTACAAACTGTATGCCTACATTATAACTTTTTGTTTTTTAAATTCGAAACTAAATGTTTTAGTATGGAGTGAGATATTTTACATCAAAACAAATATATGAATGACGATGCTAAAAAAAACTTTTTTTATATATCACATTCCTTTGTGTGTTGTGGTCTATGAACATACATTTTCATCTCATGTATATGTATTTATTATGTTCGAAAAAATAAATTATTGCTAAAAAATTATAATTGTGGAGTTCTCCCATATGCTGAATATTTAACCAAGTGATACAAGACTTTTCCAATAAAAAGTAAAGTAAACTTTGTAATTAATATATAAAGAGAGGCTGTTAAAAATAATGGAAATATTATGCTTTAAGAAAAGTTAATTTTGTTTGTATCAATTGCAGAGTAACTTGTAAAAGAAGCCATAATTTTTTTAATGATTATTTTACATATTCCCAGAGTTGTGTAAAACATCAAATTTCAGTTGTCTGTTAAAACGTAATAAAGTAAATGAGTGATTTGACTGTGTTGCAAAGAGGCCAGATTGCTAGTGCTTGTATCATTGGTACATCTGTAACTTCAGTTATATACTGGAGATAAAGAGGTACTGTGTCTTTGAGTTATGACCGCACGTGTTTCATATCTGTAGAGTTAGTAGCATGCTGTAATTTCCACAAAACAAATTTTACACTTTTTTTAACGTATTTAAAAGCAGTTTTTTCTAGCGAGAGTATAGTATAGACTTTTATCGAGCATTTCCATCGTAGCGGGATGCAGCTGTCTAAATAATTTGATGTATTTATTGATAGTGGTGGAAAGCAAGAAAGGACTGGCGTTGACACCAAAGAATATCTCACCTGTCTCCATACATTCAAAAACTGTCTCCATTAAAATGATAGAGCTACCCCATAACCAGAGTTAAGTCTCCTTATAATAGTTCATAAAATGTGTCACTTCCCAGAAGAAATGGTGTTTTGTTAGATATATAAAATTTAGAATTACTAATATTTTCCAGCAAAATTTATAGAAACGATAGCAAAATTTGACCCAAATCATGTCTAGACATTAATGGATTAAAAAAAATATGCTACTTCATCTTGGAGAGAAAATTCAAAACTAAGTGATTAAACTAATAGAGATAATATAAGAAATAATATTTTAAATGAAGTGTAAAAAAAATGTATTTTTCTTTAAATTTGATTATACTCCTGATGCTCGCATCAGGAGCAAATTTGTGTTTGCATAAGATATGTTAATTTAAAAAACAGAGAATTTAGTACTGAATAATGTTTCTTAGCATTCCATCCTGTGAGTGATACAGCATGTGAAGATTTAACCAACTTTTTACATAAAACATTAGAAAATTATGGTTTAGATATTTATAGTATGGACAAGGATATGACAATGGTTGAAATATGAAGGGTAAACAACAAAGTGTACAAAAAAGAATTTTGGACATTAATTCACGAGCAATATTTTTACCTTGCTGTAATCATACTTTGAACCATGCCATGAGAGACGCTGTGAAATCCAGTATGTTTAGCATAATTGTTTTCTAAACTGTTCAAGAGCTGTAATATATTTTTTCTGTCTCAAACAATTAATGGTCTGTTTTGAAAATCAGCATTTCAGATTTAACGTTAAAACCTTTGTCAGATACCAGATTATCTAGCCTAAGAATTATCATCTTATTTGGAAGCAGATACGAAATTCAGATGTCTAGAAATTCTAAAGCCACGAAAAATAAAAAACAGTTTTCCTAAAAAAGTAAATATCAGCTACTTGAAAATCAAGAATTAAAATTAAAGTGATTTTTTTTTCAAGGATAGGTATTACTCTTATTTGTAAATGAAAGATTTGAGCTGTTATATTTTTATTCTTTTTATATATTTTTATTCAAATTTTTCTGGAATACTGAGGATTTGGGCAACTATTCTGATCAAGATAAATTTGTTTTTTGTAAAATCTTGAAGAAGCTTTAACTGACAAAAATAAAACGAAAAAGATGTAGACGGAACTGAACTTTTGAATGAATTATAATGCTTGCAAAATTGCAACAATAATGTGACATATGTAGTAGAAATACTCAATTACATTACAATAAATAACACGTTGAGCGCGGCGCCGAATTCGCTGTCCTTTCCGTTCAGCCGGCAGCGAGCTAAGCCGTATTTTTGTTTAGAATGTTTCAATACATTTCATTAAAACTAAATTTGATCACATTTCATTGAGACTATATTTATTTTTAACTTTAATACTGTCGGTTCCGCGGACCGACGTCAGCCAAACGAAAATTCCAGTGCCGGTCCCCAGGGAAGTTCATTGCCGGTGTTAACCCACTCATTCCCAAACATTACGATATCATTACTTATATTACACTCCTGCTCAAAAAATAGGAAACAAAGGCAAACTACGGCAATAAAACAAAAACTAGTTAATGAATATGTGTGAAATTGATCGAAGAATTTGGTGTGGTATTACACTGAACCACATAGCGAACAATAAAACAAAGACATACAAAACACATGAATTACGACCATCACATCTCGAAAGACCAAATGGGTTGGAAGAATGTGCAATGGGAACATCACGCTAATAACGGGTATATGATACCCTATAACTAAACTGCATGCTTGACAACAGCAATGCAAGCTGACAATGGGGTCGCCGACCGCTTGTTGTGGCAGTAGCGCCCATTCCTGTAGCGTTACATGTCAGCGTTCGTGGAGGGCGGCTGGCAATACACTGCGACCTGTTATCCGTCGTCCCAACATGTTCCACACATGCTTTATGGGATTAAGGTTCGGTGATCTAGCTTGCCACGGTAGATGTGGAATGGCTTCACTCTCCAGATAACTCCGCAGCATTCGAGTTCTATGCGAGCGGGCGTTATCGTACATAAATATCGTGTCGGTACCCATTGCAGCAATAAAAAAACGCACAAGAAAGTGTAGAATTTCGTCGCGATATTGGACAGCTAAGATGGATGCCCCTCCCCCCGCCAGGAATCGTATAGAGGTCGGTGCGGCCGTTCGTTGCTATCCCAGCTAATAGAAATAAGCTTCCTCCTCTGTAATGGTCACTTTCGACAATGTTTGACGTTTAACAGCGCTTGTCTGGCTCTCGCCATATCATTTTCCTTCGAGAATCATTCTAGATGTTCAATCTAGACTCATCTGTGAGGAGTACGTGGCCCCACTGCTCTAGTGTCCAACTGCGATGTTCACGAGCCCAATTCAACCGCATCCCTTACAAGCGATGGCGACGAAGGAACACAAATCAAGAAGTTGGTGTGAAAATTTGAAAAAATTTGAAAATTTGAATAAAAATATGTAAAAAGGTCGTCGGACGTACAGTCCAAACTTCATGATAGTCGACGCGACACATTTTGGGGGGGGAGGGATGTGGGCCGTCCTGCGCCAGTGCTTGCTTCAAAGAGATACTCTGGAACGCCTAAACTGCGAAGTTGTTATTGATCAATATTCTGAAATAAAAATTCGAAAGCAAAATATTTAAATTATAAAGGCTGATTAATCACTATAATTGTAAGGTATTTCTTTCCTCCCGGCGATCGGGAGGTTTGGATTTTAAATCCCGGAGACGGCCATCGCCCAGCTTTTTAAGTTTTCCGTTTTCGACAAACCTAATGCCTCTGCATAATTATGTTTATTTCTATAGACTTTTTCAATCTTTCAATACCACAAACTATTTTAGTTTAAAATTATTACTGTGTTAGCATTCGTATTCGCTTTTATTATCAAGAATTTTTGAGTGGCATTTATGATTTCATAAGAATCAACTTATATAAATTGGACCTCAATTTAAATTTTGTCCAGAACCCGCTATAGCAGGGGATTTCGACCAGAGGGAATTCCACCTGGGATAGAATTTCATAGCTTTAAAGGAGAAAGAGGTCAGCCTTTTAATTGCCTATTAAGTATTTTAAGTTTTGATATTTATCAACCTTTTCTTGTTTAATTTATAAAACATGTTAAAAAATCATCTGAATCTAAAAATGCAGGTAATGATAAATACAATATAAATAAATTGGACTTTTCCGAATAACTGCCTGCCTTATCATAATATTTCACAATTGCTAATTTAGCTAGAATCTTTATAGACTTCAAATTTTGGATTTCTGTTTAATTTTCGTATTTGTTTATGCTGACAGAGTTTTAGGTTTCAAAAATGAAAACATCTTGCGAGTTTTGTCATTCCAGTCATTTTATATTATAACTGAATAGTCAATATATAAAATGACTGGAAGCAATTTTTTATGCTCTCTTGATATTTTAACAGAATAATTAAAATATCGAGAGCAGCATAAAAAATTGTTACTTTAAAAGATATTTCAGAATTTTCAATCCTATTAGCCTCACATAATTATTTTTTTTTCCTTTATTTGTATTTTCAAATTTAGTTTTTTTTTTTTTTTTTTTTTTTTTTTTTGTTTATTATTATTATTATTATTATTCCATTTATTTGCAATAAACTCAGCTGCTTTTATATTATCTTCAGATTTGTTTCTCGTATCTTACATACTGATAGAAACGTTTTGTAAATGATCACGAGTGTCTTATTCAATGCGACCGATTTTCTTTGTAGTACTTGAGACCTGCATTTATAAAAGATAAAACTTTCTCCATAAAAATTGTTAAGAATAAAAATTCAAAAGATTATATTTTGTTCTTTAACCCGTTTTCAATGCATTTTTCTTGCGCTTTATTTGAATGTAATTTCATTTAATGCTTCAAGATGTCAAAGTATCTTATTTTAATTGCTATCAAAGATGATAATCGTCCAGACCAGGATTGACAGTAAAATTTGAGTCTCTTGTAAAAAATAAACTCCGTCTTTTTAAAAAATTTCACCGAAATACACGTAAATACACTCATGTCCATAAATTAAGGATAATTCGGAGTCACGCGGAAATCGAACTCTAAAATAAATATATCACCTGTAAAATCACTACACACATCTTCAAGAATCATATGCAAATTTCCGGAAGTAACCAGATGACACCGATGGTACGTCACAATGACGAGAGTGTGTAAGAGAGTGATATATAAGGAATACAGGCAAAGTAGTGTGTATTGTTCGCAAGCGCTTTATAAGCATTTCAGTGCAATAACCAAATAGTTAAGACACAAAGGACGCATTTGGATGAGTTTTTAAGTGGTAGAATTATCGGCCGTCTGAAATGTGGGCGTACCCAACTGGAAGTATCAGACGAACTTGGAATTGCCCAGAGTGTCATCTCCAGGCTTTGGCAACGATTCCAAGATGATGGTAATGTGAGTAGACGTAACAGCATAGGTCGCCACAGAGATACAACGTCGAATGAGGACCGGTATTTGGCAGTTACTGCCAAAAGAAACAGGCGGAGCACAGCCTCAGACCTTTCTCGTCAGCTCTCTTCAGCCACTGGTACGACAATTTCAAGGCAGACCGTGTACAGACGCTAAGGGTAGATTGGTCTATATGCTCGTAGACCTGTCAGATGCGTTCCACTTACTACAACTCACTGTCGCCTGCGGTTAGCCTGGAGTAGACAGCATGCATTGTGGACACCGCAACAGTGGACTTGTGTGATGTTATCTGAAGAGTCCAGGTTTAGCTTGCAGTCTGATTCTCGCCGGACTTTCATATGGAGAGCTCCAGGTACACGTTACCACCAAGAAAACATCATTGAACGACACCGTTACGGTGGTGCAGGAGTGCTCGTTTGGGGTGGAATTATTCTGGGTTCCAGAACTGACCTGCATGTTCAACTTGGAACCATGACAAGCCAAATCTTATCGGGACGTCATTCTGGAACAACATGTACGTTTGTTTCGAGGCGCCATGGGCGCACAATTTGTGTTTATGGATGACAACGCCCGTCATCACCGTGCAAACATCGTAAGCGAATGCCTTCAATCGGAGGATATCACCCGTATGGACTGTCCAGCTTTCTCACCGGACTTGAATCCAGTAGAGCACGTGTGGGACATGCTTGGCCAACGAGTTGGAGCCCGTCAACCTCCTCCTACAGGTCTACCGGAACTTCGGAGAGCATTGCGTTTTGAGTGGTGTAATATCCCCCAAGATCAGATCGATAATTTGATACTCAGTATGCCTAGGCGTTGCACGGACTGTATTGCATCGTCTGGGAGACATACCAACCATGTAATATTAGTTTTTTGTAAATAGATTTTTTTGTAATTTGCTCCTGGGAGAAAAAATCGCTAATTTTTTTAATAATATCAAGCATATAGCATCTGTTTTTGCTCTTTACCTTTTGTTTAATAAATAAGCTTTACAAATAAGTCAAATTTGTTTTGCTTCTAACTCTTCCTTTGCCTGATTTTGCATTATTCTTAATTTATGGACATGAGTGTATTTGAAGAATTTCAAAGTATTTACGTAACTCTTTTACAGGCAAAACTCTTGTAATGTTACAAAGAAAACACCTGTTTCTGTTACTCAAATAACCCACGGCATCCTAGTTTCCATGAGTTTTTCTTAGTAACCTTACAGATTTTTTTTTTACAGTGTGGATACCATTCAGCTTTTTATATTTGGAAAAGCGATCGGAACATTTTCTGTCCTTTCATCATCATTTATGACTGTAGTTGAAATGTTTCTTGATAGTTCGCCTGCTTCAGTGTCTTCAGTCGGAATATTTTCTGGTACATTTTTAATTTTTTAAACTGTATCTGAACTATCTGATGCCTCATTTAAATGTTTATTAATTACTGGTGACTGTTTCTGTGACCTCAAAGTCGATGCTGACGTTCTTAATTTTCACTTTAGAAATACTGACTAACAGTTTTATTTTTCTTCATAACCCGTTTTAAAGCATCGCATCATTCTTTTTCTTTTTTTTTTTTCCAATCTTTGTTTTCTAAACTTTCTTCTTTATATTATAATATTTTTTTATAATGTTGTAGACTATAAATAAAAAGGCATATAAATAGAGTAAATCATTTAATACATCACTTATGAATAAAGAAAAAGATTTTGGTATCATTCAATATTTTATGCTTATTGAAAAGAGTATATTCCGTATTGTTTCTCAGTCTGTCAGTGGCCGAGTGGTAACATCGCTGAACAGTGGTAGTTCGAGGTGAGACTCAGTCTCGACGAACGGGCTGGCTTGAATGGAGTTTACTTTATTCGAAAGACTTAACAATTACAGTCAAAAATCTATAGCGAGGGTGGACGATTGTCATGTTTGGTAGCAATTAAAATAAGGTATTTTGATATCTTAAAATCATTAAATGAAATTATGTTAATTTCAAAGAAAGCGCAAGAAATAGACATTGCAGATGGGTTGAGAAAAAACTGGAATCGTTTAAGGGGACGGTGGACTTCAAAATAGCTAAAAATCAACCCAAATATTGAATTTGGTTTTTTACTCTCATAATATTCCATATACGTAACTACATCGTATGCAAAAAACCGAGTTCAAATATTCTAATTCTTAAAGAAGTTACAAGCATTATAAATGTGTAAAAAACGTAAACAAGTGTTTATTTCTAAAAAAAGGCTAGAAATGTCAAGTATTGACAACTATTAATGAATTTAACTTTGGTTATGTGAATGCTATACGCCTGAGAACAGGAAGAAACAATCTCGTTTTCCCTACTCGTTGCAAAAAAGCGTGATCAACGTCGCTTGAACTAAAAAAAGAAGTTTATCTGTTAGGAAAAAAAAAAAAAAATATTGTAAAGCATTAAAAGATAATGTAACAAATGAAGGTTAATTATATCAGTGGTGCGCAAACTAGGGGTCGCTAAAAGTTTTTTGGGGGTCGCCAAATTTTTATGAAATGCATTATGCCTGCATGCTGCATACCATACACTGTACATATAAAGAGTGAAACGCCGTCACTCACTGTTTAATTGCAACTTCATGTTGTCCGCTCTTTCTTTGACCGTAATGCGTAATGTATGTAAAGTGTGAAGCCGCAAGTTTTTCACTCCGGTAGATAGCGCCCTCTTTGCGGTAATTCGCCAGTTTTGCTGAAAAGCGCCTATTTGACTAGACGTTAACCGCAGGGAAAGGAAAATTCAGGGAAAAGGCAAAAATTCGCTTCCGTGATCAGCCAATCTGATGTCGAGGTACGCGGTTTATCTGATAGTCAGAGTGAAGACGTGAAGTGTTCGCATGAAGTTGTAGCATGCAGCCAGTTGGCCAGCAGTTGTTTTAGTTTATCCTCGAGTTTTATCCAACGACTTCTTATAACAGGTTATCTCGTTGGTTTTATCATGTGACGTTGTGTAATTATGATTTTTTATATTTTTATCGGGCTTTGCTACTCTTTGTTATCAGGTATGTACTATCATTAGAGAAAGATCTCTGTTAATTTTATTGAATTTCTCGAAAATGATAAAATTTTATATATTATTTGTTATAATTTAACCCCTATCTTCATAATGGATAAATGGGTAATACGTACACCAGGTACATCTTCAGCTAAAAAACGAACAAATACTGATGAGGAGTCGCAAAATACTGAACTAAATGCCCGATCTAAAAAAATAATAAAATACAATGAGGAATTTATTGTGGTTTTACATTTTGTGTTGTTGATGATGAAGAACGCCCGATATGTGTCATTTGCAACGAAAAATTAGCAAATGAGAGCATGAAACCAGCTAAATTAAAAAGGCACCTGGAAACTAAACATAAAGAACTTCAAAATAAACATGCCGATTTTTTTCAAAGACGAGTTGAAAATCTGAAAATTCAAAGTGCACATTTAAAGAAATTTACAACAATACCTCAGAAAGCATTACAAGCTTCTTTAGAAGTTTCTTATCTAATAGGAAAAACAATGAAACCCCATACCATTGGAGAATCCCTTATCCTTCCTGCAGCAACTAAGATGACATCAATTATGCATGGCGATAAATATGGAAATGAACTAAAAACAATACCATTATCAAGAGATACCGTGTCTCGGCGGATTTCCGAAATGTCACGAAATATCGAGTTAGAAGTCATAAAACGCATACAAAATTCACCTGTATTTGCTTTACAACTGGACGAGACTACCGATATTACTAAAATGTCACAACTAATTATTTACGTTAGGTTTATTTATAATGAAGATATAACAGAAACGTTTTTATGTTGCAAACGTTTGGAAGGAAAAACAACTGGATAAAAAATATTCGAAGTAATAGATGAATATTTTGAAACAAAGTCCCTTACCTGGGCAAACTGTGTTGCGGTTTGTACTGATGGTGCTGCAGCATTAACAGGTTCGAATAAAGGGCTCAGAGGCTTAATTCAGAAGGTGGCGCCTCATACGGTATTTAATCCCCATATGATTCATCGGCAAGCTCTTGTTTCAAAAGATATGGATGAAGAGTTGCACAACATATTATATGACGCTGTTAGTTGAATTAACTACATTAAATGCAACAGCCACAACAGCCGTCTCTTTTCAATACTTTGCAATGAGATGGTCTCAACGTATGAGAGATTACTGTTACACACCGAAGTCAGATGGCTTTCACGTGGGAAAATGCTACGACGGATATTTGATTTGAGAAACGAAGTGTACATGTTTTAATCGAAAAGAAACATAGATTGGCAAGTTATTATATCAATGAAGTTTGACTAGGGAAGCTGAGCTATTTAGCTGATATTTTTGAAAAACTTAACGACTTAAATTTGAGCTTGCAGGGTGAGAATTCAAATATCATAACTTCAGCCAGTAAAATTCAAGCTTTTAAGAATAAGCTTAGTCTCTGGTAAACTGAACTGAATAAAAACAACACCGACATGTTCCCTTGCTTTATTTTATCGAGAAAAATAATATAGATATATTTACATTTAAAAACATCATACAAAATTCACCTGTATTTGCTTTACAACTGGACGAGACTACCGATATTACTAAAATGTCACAACTAATTATTTACGTTAGGTTTATTTATAATGAAGATATAACAGAAACGTTTTTATGTTGCAAAAGTAATATAAGTCAGATTACTAATATAAGTCAGATATGATGATGTTTTTATTCGATGAAACGAAAGAAACGTGCGAAATATACATTTTATTTGTGAAGATTTATCTCTAGGGGTCGCCAAAAATTTTCTATCTTCAAAAGGGGTAGCAGTCGAAAAAAGTTTGCGCACCACTAAATTATATGATGCAAGTGAATTTTAAAAGTTTCACATTGAATCACATTGAAAAGTTGAAAATTTTTCGAGAAGATTCGAGGATTTTCCTGAAAAAGATCTTGGTTGGATTCGTGATCCATTTTCCTTTGACATATGCAGTCCAGCTCTTCAAATTAGTGAGAAAGAGCAATTGATAGATCTAATTAGTGATTATACTCTTCGAAATCAATTTAAGATTCAGCCTTGCCAAACATTTTGGCTATCCCTGGAAAAACAATATCCCGTTTTATGCAAGAATGCCATCAGAGTGTTAATACAACTTGCATCAACGTATTTATGTGAAACTGGATTTAGCAAACTAGTTTCAATAAAAACTAAATACCACTCGCGTTTAAACCCTGAAGATGATATGCGAATTGCAATTAGCAACATACAACCAAACATCGATGAGATAATTAGAAACTTGCAGCCACATACATCTCATTAAAGGGCAATTTACTGATTTTTGTGTTATACAAAAATTATTTTCTTAAAATTATAAATAAAACTAATATAAGTCAGATATGATGATGTTTTTATTCGATGAAACGAAAGAAACGTGCGAAATATACATCTTATTTGTGAACATTTTTCTCTAGGGGTCGCCAAAAATTTTCTATCTACAAAAGGGGTCGCAGTCGAAAAAAGTTTGCGCACCACTAAATTATATGATGCAAGTGAATTTTAAAAGTTTCATTCGATATAATGCATAAATTCTTCGAACTTCGAATCACGTACCAATTTGCAATATGCTTTTTTTTATCATATTAATATTATGAGATTAAAACTATTTAAATGATACGAAAATGTTATCTAGTGTCTTATATTCATATTTAAAGTTAATTTGCTGTTTCTCATAGCCATGTATTAAAGGTAAGTTTGAAGAAAAACTTTAAACTCGTTTTTCTCAAAAGAAAATTTTTCGCAGTTCGTAAGTCTTAAAAATGTTTCATACGTCTCATTTTTTCTTAAAAATGAATTATATTTGGAAGAAACTATCTTGTTACAATAAATCTGTGTATGCATTTTTGGATATGAGGTTATTAAGAAGTTTTGTAGTGTTTTCCTTATTTTGCATAACAAATTTATTTTAAGTTTTCATGTTCTCAACTTCTCAAACTTTCCCTCACATTTTCTCGCCAGGATGTAAATTTAAAGTTAAGCAAAATGCTGTTTAAACGTTTGATTATCTCAGTTTATTCAGAACGTGTTTCGCTAGCCTAGCGCACGTTTCGTTGTTATTTCACGGTCACGCTAGTAAGCCTTTTGGCCTTATCAGTTAGTATAATGCCGGTTAGATTTCTACGAGTCCATCTCTTAGTCGTAATTTTGAAGTGCGTTTTACACTCGTTTATTTTTCAGATTTCATTTGTATTACAGTCTACGTTTAGTTACCGCCGCAAGTGAACGGTGTTTTGCGATGCACGAAGTCCGTGCTTTTCTGTTAAATTAGTTTGATTTAATAAAGGGTTATTTTGCACCCTTCTTCTGTGCTGGTATTTAGTTCACGCTGTGCGAGAATTTGCCAGTTTCACTGTAGGATCTAAGTTAGTGTATGTGGAAAAGTAGAGACAGTTTAAACTTGTGAAAAAAGTTGAACTTGTTAAAAGTTGCAGTTTAAACTTGTGATAATGTTTAACAAAAGGCGATATTTTTCCGAAAACAGGGTTTAAGTTCACAAAAATTCTTTTTAAAAATTTCTGTTCCATCATATTCAATAACGGATACATAAAAACTTTTGTCAAGTCTTTATAACTAACTTAAAAATTAGGAAAAATATTGAAAATTAGCGCACAAGGAGCATTTTAAATCTTTAATTAAAATAATTAATTATTTGTTTTAAAAATTTTTTAATTAAAATAATTAAAATTTTGAAGATATATTTTAAAAACTGATGTTATAATACGTATATGTATAAAATTTCTTGTTGAAAACACAAAAACTTAAAAAACTAATTTTTCCACCGTCCTTAAATATGTATTTTTAACAATTTTTCGGGATAATTTTTTATTTTTTTTATTAATGCAGTATCTGAAGTATTAAAAAAAAGGAGGGGGGGAGGGAATTAAACTTAAATGAAACTCATCAGCATTTAAAAAAAGATATGAGAAACAGGTTTGAAGATGTTGTGAAAGTTTATTGCAGATAAACGGAGCGTTGAAAATAAATTTTAAAATAAAAAGCAAAAAATATTTTTGATGAGTAATGTGAGGATAACAGATTTGAAAAAAATCTGAAATATCATTTAAGTAGCAGTTTGATATACTGCTGTACACAGAACAACAAACAGCAGATACATTAGCAAGAGCAGCAGCAAACAATACTCACTATTCCAATATTTTTTCCACTTCCAAATTCTATTTCGTTATTAAAGTCAAGACTGGAAAAAGATTTAATAACACAATGGAATGAAAATTGGTCAAGAGACAATACAGGCAGACGAACATACTTAATCTTACCAAATCCATCAAGGAATTTAGTAACTTCAAATAATGCAATAACTTAATTCCTTACCTCAAATGGACCTTTTATTCTACATCTTCTTCGTTTTGGATTCCATCATACTGACAACTGCATCTGTCGCTCAATAGGATGAATAGATCATTACATGTTCGAATGCTCAATAAACCAAAGATCTCCACTTTTACCCTTTCATATCTGTCAACACATAAATCAGGTTGAAACAACTTCTTAAAGGTAATTTTCCTCGTAATAAACTGCATAACTTGATCAGATACCTAATGGAAAACTGCGATGATTTAATAGGAACATAAAGTAAGTCCATGATTCAAGATATTTCAATTCAGCAGCTGTCTCACAAAAGTGATGAGACACTTGTGCTTTACGAAAGGAAATTGTAGTAAAATAAATTAAAAAACATGTAAAAATTTTTTGTGGGTGTGTTTCATACTTAAATTTAGTAACATAGCCATTACATAACATACATTTTCTCAAAATATTAAAATAGTAATGTAATAAAAATACAATTGTTTAGAACGGAGCAAAAAATGGCTCACATAAATGATGGGACACTTACTTTTCTATCAAATATTTATCCAAAATTTTACTTCTTAAAATGTTTTAATATTTTGCTGGATTTCCTTTTACTTTTAAAACGTGATTTAATCTTCTTGGGATGGATTCGACTAATTTTTT